GCATCTGCATGCCATTCTTACCACAATTCTATCATGTTTGGCTTGCACAGACTTGTAGACTTGAGTTTGTTTGAAGAACTTAGTGCATGTGCTAAGTGTGCTGCATAGCTGGAACAAGGGAGCTCTTTCAGTCATTCCATGTTTTCTGTTTCCCCAGTAAGATGTATGATGTATGGGTTTGGAGATGACCAGAATCCCTACACAGAGTCAGTGGATATTCTTGAAGACCTGGTGATAGAGTTCATCACAGAGATGGTAGGTTCTATTAAGAAATCTGCTTAATTTGTTTCTGGACTGTAATGGCTAGAGAGAGCAGTGCATTTAAAAACAAATAACTCTGTTGAACAGTGGTTAGGAAAGCCCTTTCTAAAAAAGATTATCAGTGGAAGGGAATGGGTTAGTTTTCTAAAGACGCTAAAAATAGGCTTCTTTTTATTTTTCCCTAAAAAGATCTAAAAATTAAAAAAAAAAAAAAAAAAAAAAATTACAGAAGTTTCAACTATTAATAAAGGTCTTAAACTATTCCAATAACTGGCTGATTAAACATCTGATTTGCATCCCAGCAGTCACTAACCCTTGATCCTTCCAAGGTTGATAATCTCTTGCATTCAACAGTGGGTATAGCATTTTTAGGTGATACTTTTAAAGGGGGGAAAAAATGCCCTGCATGCTATGTGTGGACATTGGATCCCATTTCTATTGTTAGAGAAGATTTGCCTTGTTGCCCTTAGCCAGGGATTCATGAACTCCATTTTTTAACAGAGCTGTGTGTTTCCTCCTCCTGGGGTACAGGAGTCTTATATACCGTACTACCTAATTTCTTCTCACTAACTGCAACTCCAGTACTCGTCTCTGTACATCATTTTGCAGGTTAGGCCTGTCCTCCAGTGCACTTGCTGCTACTCTGATTTTGGTGTCATCAGCAAGTTAGACAACAATTCACTATATATACACACACACACAACACTCAATGAAGACACAAAGCAGCTGTGCAGGGTGCAGACATAGGCTTGGCTTGTGAATTTTATATATTATGTTTGTGACTTTTTTATGACAAAGCACCTTAAAACGAAGCGCTTATATGTGAGTTGCCAGGAAATAAGATTTCCAGATTTTATTTATTTGAGTTTTGGAGTGGGGTGCATACTGACTGGCACAATAGATCCTGGTCCATGAACCTTGCTCAAAGCTGCTATCGTATTGCAAATAGTAAATAACTGGTAGGAAACATTGCTGCTTAAAAGACTGGTTTTTACTAGTGTGAAAGGTAGTTCATGGACCACCTAGAAAGGCTTTCCTCACCATAGTTTAGCTAGGATGGTGACTTTCAATCTCTGAAACTATTGGTTTCCTCTTCAAAAGTGCAAAGCCTAGCTTGTTAGAACTAAAGTGCAAGGGTACCATTTAAAAATAGTGTGTAAGGTAACTTACAAGAGGGAAAAGGGAGAATAAATTTCAGTGAAAGCATTTACATTTTTTTTTTTAAACAGACACACAAGGCAATGTCAATTGGACGGCAGGGACGTGTACAGGTTGAGGATATTGTCTTTTTGATCCGCAAGGACCCACGGAAGTTTGCTAGAGTAAAAGACCTGTTGACTATGAATGAAGAACTGAAACGAGCCAGGAAGGCTTTTGACGAAGCAAACTATGGATCTTGATGCTTTTGTATTGTGCAGAGATGGTAAACATTATGGTTACATGTTATCCCTATACATTTTTGAGCATTTTTTGTTCAATACTGAGAAATTAACCCTTACTGCTTTGGGTTTGTGTGTGTGTGTGTGTGGGGGGGGGGGTTGATGGATCTCAGTGCTGGAGTGTCTAAAGCTGCATTTACTGGTTAGAATTGCCAGACAAGCCTGTAAATGTATCTTAATGTTTTGTATATTTTTAATGCTCTTTTATGCTATTTTAAGAAAAGGCGGGGGAGTTCAAACTAGAAGTGCTCTAGAAGTTCATGCTTGTTTGTAGCAACTCTTCTTTTGAGCTATGTACCAGATGACTTGAAAGCTAAATGAAAACAGATGCTTGGCAAATGTGCACAGTTCTCATTCGATTCAGATACCCTTCATCTGATCCACCTTAGGTGGATTTCAAAGGAATAATTGAAAAGTTAGTGCCTGAACATCATTGTGTTTGGAGAGGTTTATACAGTGTAGTTAGCCCAGGTATTGAAACTTTTGCTTTTCTGTGTCTTCTCTTTATAAGGGGGTATTTATGAACAATAAAAATTTTCAACAGTTCACTCCTCTTGCTTTGAGTCTGCAATGTTAAATATATTCAGGCACGTGAGAATATTTCCACATAAGGAACAAGAATTTATTTGCATGTCCAGTAGTCTTAGGCCCACAATGTGGTCTTAATCTTTTATTTATTTATATGAATGTTTTCATATAAATGGCTTTGCTTTTTTTGTGCGTGCTGCCAGATATTAGTGAGGATGCTGACTTTTTAGATTTAGCTTCAGTTAGCTGTGACTCTAGGCTCACCTTCCCTAGATTTAACTGCACTCTAATACATTATATGGAAAGAACTATTATAGAAAGACAAGACTGGGTTTTCAGGCATCTATTAACCAAGAGAAGGAGGCAGCCAGGGATGAATAAACAGAAGGTTCCAGTTTCCTTCTGGCATAATAGATAAAGCTTAATGATTCTGTTCAGTCAGAAATAATTTTAATTGAATAGTTTTGTACTGCTGGAAGATGCAGCTGCTGTGGTATTTCACAGCTGGTTTAATGTTTGAAACATTACACTAGTGTCTGTCAAATCTAGGTTTAAATTCCACCAGTTGCCTTACCTTTCATCCTTAAGACACAAATCGTTCCATATATTTTAGTTTGAGTGGGTCTCCTGCAGAAGACCATAAACAGAAGTCCTGCCTGTTTGGTAGGAACCACTACAAAGCCCATGGTGCTCCTTTTGAAACAGCAGGCATGACCATATTTATCCCTCAACCCACTGGTTCTCAACCTTGCCAGACTACAGTACCCCTTTAGGAGTCTGATTTGGCTTGTGGACAGCACGTTTCACCTCACTTAAACTACTTGCTTACAAAATCAGATATAAAAATACAAAAGTGGCACAACACACTTTGCTTACTTATTTACCATATAATTATAAAATAAATCAATTGGAATATAAATATTGCATTTCAGTGTAGTCTATAGAGCAGTACAAACCAGTCATTGTCTGTATGAAATTTTAGTTTGTACTGATTTCACTAGTGCTTTTTATGTAGCTGATTGTAAAATTAGGCAAATATCTCTAGATGATGAGTTTTTGTAGCCCCTGGAAGACCTCTGCATACCTCCTGGCCTCCTGGTTGAGAACCACTGCTCTAACCCACTAGTGACAACATTTGTGATTTGAATCTTCTAAAAGAAAGGTGTTAAAAGTGTGAATTATAGCCTACTACATGGCTTCCCCCTGAAATTCTCCCAGCAATCAAACCACTAAGAAATAGACGACTTCTAAGATTGGCCTGCTGTATTACGCTGCAGGACTACTCAAGCCTATTGCCTGAACCTAGCATTTAACCTTGTAAATAACAGCCTACAGGACTTTTGTAGAAATTTTAATTTATTTGTATGCAAAGAAAACAAGATCACAAAACTTGTGGAGGGGAAACCTTTATGCATGGTTCAGGAGTTGAGTAGTTACTCTGAAAGCCAGGTATCATTAAATAGAAATCTATAGAACAAAGATATGCATGACTCTTCCCTCTTCCCAATCATCATCAGTCTTTAGATTTACTGTAATGTGACTTAATTTGAATACTTACCACCACTGGGTGTGGTGCTGTATAAAATGTAAAATATACAATGTGTCTATGCTGAAGTGTTTACAGGAGAAGTGAGGTAGGATACTTAAAGGTAGCCCAGAGGATGGAAGAGCAAAGTTTCCCCCCATCTTATATCATCTTTCTTGTGGACACTATGTTAAAGATTGGTTTTAAGGAGGAATGGCACCTAGATTATTTTGTGTATTATACTGCCTACCAGCTCCAGTTGTGGACCAGCAGCCCATTGTAGTAGGTGCTGTATAATAGGAGAGTATTCCATACAACCCCAGTATTCTTCTAGGTCAAAGCTGATCACTGGGGCATTGTGATAAAGGCAAGATTTCAGTGGCATCATGGGAACTGCTGTACCAGGTCACCCCCTCCTCCTCAGTTCTTACTCTGCTGTGATACCTACAGGAAACCAACCAGATAAAGTAATTAAACAAAAAACATAGAACTTGAAAATGAGATTGCATCCTTCCCCCTTCTCTGGCACTTAAGGGCTGGTCCTAGGAACACACATGTAACTATGAACAGTAGTCCCATTGAATTCAATAAGATTACTGCTGTACAGCAGTGCTATAGAAGGAGGACCATAAACTAAGTTCTTCTCAGTATGGACCATGGCTTTGTATGTATTTGTACATACAAATAAATGCAAAACTTGGAGATCCTGGGCAGCAGTGAAGTTAAATATTTCATACCTGATTGGTGCTATTATTCTTGCACCTTCCTCTGAAGCAGTTGGTACTGGTCCCTGGTAGAGAGGCTACTAGACTAGACAAACCACAGGTCAGCTCATGTATTCTCCATCCTTATTTTCAGTGACTTCTCTTTCCCAGAAAGTAGCCTTCTGGGCTTAAAGCTGCTTCTGGCTAGGCTCAGTCCAGCAGTGAGTTATAGAATGTGTTACTGAAAAGCTTATCTCTACCTGTATTTGGCAGTGTAATAACTCCAAGGAAGTGGGTTTATGTCCTCTGAGGGATAAAGGCAGAACACTTATTTTTAATCTTGTAATGCTACAGATAGATTACTTCAGTGATTTTGGTTGGCTGCTTCCCTTAAAGTAGCCTCAGCTACACTGCATGCAAGCTGAAGCATCAGCTCACCTCTCCCCCTACTCTGAGCTGTTTTATGCACAGAATCAGCACTTCAAATAGGCAAGCATCTTTCAGAACTGGGGTTATCAATGGAACCCTAACTGCTGAGACACTTATTCTAGATCAGGGGTTGGCAACCTTTCAGAAGTGGTGTGCCGAGTCTTCAATTATTCACTCTAATTTAAGGTTTCGTGTGCCAGTAATACACTAATGTTTTTAGAAGGTCTCTTTCTACAAGTCTATAATATATAACAAAACTATTGTGTGTAAAGTAAATAAGGTTTTTAAAATGTTTAAGAAGCTTCACTTAAAATTAAGTTAAAATGCAGAGCTCCCCAGACCGGTAGCCAGGACCCAGGTAGTGTGAGTGCCACTGAAAATCAGTTTACGTGCTGCCTTCAGCACGCATGCCATAGGTTGCCTACCCCTGTTCTAGATTGTGCCTCCAGCCCTGACCACTGGACTTACTGTGTGGATCACTCCTACAGGTGGGGCTTAAACGTCACAGCACCAGCAGGAATGTATGCTCACTGCATGATCTACATTTCAGATCTGGCCAAGCACTAGAGTTTGGATAGGTTAAAGCAGTGGCTGTCAACCTTTCCAGACTGCTGAACCCCTTTCAGGAGTTTGATTTGTCTTGAGTACCCTCAAGTTTCACCTCACTTAAACTACTTGATTACAAAATCAGACAAAAATACAAAAAAGTGTCACAGCACACTTACTGAAAAATTGCTTATTTTCTCATCATATAATTATAAAATCAAATATAAATATTGTGCTTACATTTCAGTGTATAGTATACACAGCAGTATAAAGTTCTGTATAAAATGTTAGTTTGTACTGACTTTGCTAGTGCTTTTTATGCAGCCTGTTAAAAACTAGGCAAATATCTAGATGAGTTGATGTACCACCAACCATTGGCTGAAGGCAACACTGTAGGACCTAGCTTATGTGCTCCCATACACTTCAGGCATCAGAATGACAAAGACTGCTGTCCAGGCTCTAGGATCATGACAATACAAAGACATTTTGGCTTCTGTATAAGCAGCAAATATTAAAGGGGTGACATATATATATATATATATATATCTTGGCTTGTTTGAAAAACACAAATACATAAAGTATTTTAAATTTTCACTCAGGGCAAGGGAGGGGTTCCTTTGATAGCCAGAAGCAGATGGCCCAGCTCTTTCCACATGCTAGAGGAGTCTTGTCCTCTCGTTGGTTTCTAACAGGGTGTTTTATACTACATTCTGTGATTGCAGCACTTATAACACAGGTCTCTCATCATCATACAGTAGGACTAGAGCCATTGTGCTTTTCTTGATGAAGAGATGAAAAACGCCCAAATAAACCATTGTTCCCTTAGCAAGGCCCTCTCACCCATGACAATTTATTGAACTGTCCATCTGAGGTATCTCCTCTAAAATAACATTTTACAAAGAAACATTTAGTAGGACCACTATCTTCTCTGTAGTGCAGCTTCACTAGCCCCCAATTATTGTGGGGAAATTAAGTATGTGGATTACAGAGACTAACACTTTAACAATGTTTCTAATAGTTTTCTTTAGGCAGTTATAAAAAGCTAGACTGTGGAGTTCTACAGCAGTGGTCCCCAAACTTTTCAGTTACACTTCTCTGTCCACTCCTCCCCCCCGCCCCTTGGCCAGGAGCAGGGCTGTAGCTCCCAGGGTGGGTGGAGAGACAGACACAGGTAACAGGGGTGCAGCTGGGTGCAGGTCTCCAGCCAGGGTTGGGAACAGAGCTATAGCCAGGGGCCGAGGTTTGGGGCGGGGCCAAGGCTTGGAGTGGGACAGGTGCAGAACTGAGGCTGCGCATGGGGCCAGAGCAGAGGGATTGGAGCGGGGTTGGGTGGCGCTCTTTTCCCCACTCCCCATGGGGGCTGGCTTGGGCATCACTATGCCCCCCCAAATGTTCCTCCACACCTACCCTTGGGGGGTGTGCCCCACAGTTTGGGGGACCTCTGTACTACAGTGACTCACCCCCACATCATCGCACCAGTGTTATACACCCATTACTGCAAAAATGTCATCAATATCATCGTTCTCACTAGTCCCTTTCACTGTAGGCCCAGGGTTTCTTTCCAACGCCACAGGTTCAGAGGTCCCCACTTTGTCTTGTTCTCCAACATGCTTGGTAGCGCTACAGTCTCCTGCTTTTCTTAGGTGAAGTGAATGCTCACACTGCCAAGAAGGATAGAGGGACGCAGCACCAGGCATACTGTCTTCAGAAAGGCTGGGAGTGTTTTGTTGAACAAACTCTGGAGTCTTCTTTGAGACAGATTTTGACCTTCTGGACAGTTTGATCTTCCTTTGCTGCCAGGAACTTGCTCTGCGGTACTGCTTTGGCCAACGTGCCTTTTGCAAGCCAGAGAGAAGGTATTTGCAGATAGATGCTTTAACACAGCCCAGTTTTTTCTGTAAGCTTTAAGGTGAAGGGGAAAAACCAAAGCAATTCAGTGAGAGGGGGGGAAAAAAGTGGTTTCTGCTCTGGCAAAATTCAAACCTCAGCTTTGGGAGACTTGGACATTTCCCTTCTTCCCTCACAACCCAGAGGTATAGAAAGCATCTTGGAAATCATAAGCCCAGGCTTGCAAAAAATCACCATCCCACATAGAAAGAGTATTCACCCACCCTTATATCTTACTGCAGTGTACAAAGTATTCATTCACTCATTTAAAAAAGCCTCACTGCAGATGAGTGAACAGAATAATGCATTCATAGAGTAATACACCTCCCCTCAAATGCATTTCTAGATCTGTGTACATTCCAAGGGCTTTTCTACACAGGAACTTGCAGCCGTATCATTAAATTGATTTAATTAAGCAACTGCACACTGGTGGACTCTTACTTTGGTTTAAGAATAGCTTATTTCTGTCATCTTAAACCTGTTCTTAATTGATTTAAGATAAGCCAAAACCCCACTCATACCAGAACAACAGCCTCCACACAAGGTTTTGTACTAGCCTAGCTACATTAGTTTTAATTCAACACTTTGGTAATACCAATACAACTTTCCCACATAGGTAAGACCTAAATAGTAAGATATATTGAAGAACCGCAGCGTGTTGTCCCTGAAAACCCCAAATCCATGTTAAATTACACCTGCCTGCAGCCCTGAGCCTCCACATGGTGCAGCCGTTTGCTTTTCAAAAGTTTGGTTCCCAGAAAGAAAGCTTCTGACTTGAGCTTTTTGCTTTTGCAGTGGAGAATGGCGGTTTTGAGTGCTTCAGACAGTTCTCCAAAAGAGCAGGCTTCTCTAAACCGCAACACAAGGGATTTGGCATGCTGGGATCTCACTGCTTTTGCTTCAGAAAGCGTTAGCCTGAAGTCTACTTCCTGAAATAAAGATGAAGGAAGAAATTAGTGTTTAAAAAAATAAATAAAATAAAAAAAAAAATCAGTGTCCAACTGATCCTCAACAGGAGAGAAGCTCAGATGCTTAATGTTAAAGAAACATAATTTACTGCACCAGCAGGCAGTGGACTGGTTGTTAAGAGGAAGAACTGCAGTTTTCATGAACTTAAGTCCCAATTCCCATCTCTAGCACCAACTGTGAAATGGAGACGGATACCCACATTTGTAAAGCACTCAGATCTGCAAGCAAAGGATAAAACTACATTGTCTACACAAAGCCTTCATGTCAGTCTGAGGAGCTAAGATAAGGTAAGCCAGAGAAAGAGCCCTGGAAGCCACTAGCTTCAAAGTGTCAGGGACAGGCAGCGCAAAGGGGAGAGAATATTTTCCAATCACAAACATACAGAAAAAGCCTTTGGAGCCCTGATGTCCTCTTTAAAAGATGCAACGTGTGTTAATTTAAGCCATACAAACCTCTTGGATTCTGGGTTTAAGTTGCCTACATAAGGTCTTGATGTCAAATCCCAACTGCTTCCCTGGAGAGGGAGAGAAAGAAAAGATTGTCGCTTAAAAATGGGAAGAGTTAGTTTGTTTTGGTAAGAGTTGTTTCTGTAACTGCACAATTTCACCCCAGCTCAGCCCTTCAGTCTGCTGCACAGCCATACAGGAGACATCGGGTCATAAGCTTCTTACTAACAATTGGCTCACACCAAGGTTCAGCATTGCCAGCTGGCAATGCAAAGAGGGGTGAGCAAAGGATCCAGATGCAAGATGCATCTCAGCCAGCTAGATGCAAGGAACAAAATGGATGGCGAGATTCACAGAAAGCAACCCAGAAAAATTAGGTGGATAAAGAAAGCCATTCATGCACTTCGATGCTTTTGGTTTCTGCCATCACCCCTCCTGGAAGGGAGGTTTAGTGGTTAAAGGACAGAACTAGGAATCAGAGGATCTAGGTTCTGCTGTATGGGACTTGGCCAGTTTACTTAGCTTCACTGTCCCCTCATTTAAAAATGGGGAGGAATGATCAGAATGAGCTGCCTACCTTATAGACATGCTGAGAGGCTTAAATTGTTCATCTTTGTAAAGGGTTTTGAGATCCTGTACTGTACCGCACCGTGGAAGTGCAAAGCATTACTTAACACTCTCCCTCCCCCCCCGACCCCACCCCAAAAAAAAGTCTTCACACATTTCCAGAAAAACAGTAACAAAACTGCAAAGCTTTACATTTCAGAAGCTGACGTGAAAGACAAGGGTAGGCCAAAGCACACCTTCTTATCATTCTTCTGTTAGAGACCCCAGCATGTACCTGGCCCAGAGAAGCTTAAGATGAAGCATTTAATGCTGGGACCTGTGGTATCCCTGAGCCACAGGATTTACTCCATTTTATGCAGGTAGAACCTAAGGATTAGGGGCACGTTGCTAACATGGGCCTCCGCACCAACGATACTACCTCAGAATTCTTTACCTCTGTTTGCTCTCTTCACCAGAACCGGCTTCCCAATGTCAATGGGGCGCTGGATGTTGGTCATCTTGCTGCACCTTGTGGGAGCTGCCAGGCCTCTCTCTTTACTGCACCTGGATGCTACTGCAGGCCCTGCAAACAGTTTGTTCAGCCATCCAGTTGCCTTTTTTGTTGCAAGTACTTTAGGTCTTTTTTTAATCTCCAAATAAAGGGGTCCCAGAAACTCAGTGATTTCAGAAGGGAAGGTAAACCCCTTAATATAAGGCATCTGCTGGGTCCTGGACACCTCCTGCAGCAACCCAGACAACACCCCATATAAAGAAATGAGGCTTTGTAATACACACCTATAAAGAATCCTGGGAAGATAAACACATGGGCATGAGCCAGCTGCAGACACAAGCTGTTTAACTTGTATTCACTAAGCAAGTACACTAATCCCGTAACTGCCTCTTCCTCCCCTTTTCTCCTAAAGAAGTCCCTTTCCCCCCTCCCCCCCACACTTCTGGATCTGACTTCATGCTCTCCAACCACCTTCCCTTGCCTGTGTTTTGAAACTGGTTCTTCCCTACAAATAGCATAACCTCCCAATGTAAACGGCTTCCTCAGTGCTGGATTCTGGCCTAAGGGAGGGTTACCAATTTTGGTTGAACCTATTCCTGGAGGTTTCATCATGATATAATCTTTAATTAAAAGATTCATCTTTAACTCCTGGAGACTTCAGGACAGTCCTGGAGGGCTGGCAACCTTAAGCACGGAGCAACAGGACAAGACTTGCTCCACTCTAAGTCTCCATCCAATACCCACCCTCCAGAAACCTTTTCTTCCCTAGCACTAGATCTAGTGGATCTTCCATAAACGCTGGGAATTAGCAGGTTCGCAAGTAACATCCAGCCAAGCCCATTTAATGGGAATTCTTTCATGCACCAAACTATTTTGCATCGATTCAATGCAGTTGGGCCTACTTATTTGATATTAGAGACTTTCCTTTTCAATGGAAACTGGAAAAAAATTTCCTGTTCCAAACAGCACTTATACAATTTATTATACATGGAGCTATGCCATGCAAGAGGGTCTACATTTTTGCAGTCTAGTTGCACACTTGCAATGATGTGAAGAGACTAGAACAATGATTTCACTGAAAGAATCGGGAGCATTGAGGACTGACTCCATTCTATCCATTTCATTTTCAGCATGAGGCAGGTCAGATTGGTTACTGGAAAATCCCAGATGCTAAAAAAATGTTGTGGCAAATTGACACCGTGTATATATAGGGTGAAATGAACTTAGCTAAAGAAAATATATGCTTTGCAGTTTATGTAAAGTGCAGGTCCTGTTAGCAGTTGTGGGAAAGCCTTGAAGGAAGAGGGATAAATTGGAAAAACTGGACCTGGAAGGTAACTGACAAGATACGAGGAAAAGTCCTTAAAGAAGACAACCTAGTTACCAAGAGTGGTTCAAACTGGTTCAATCAAAAAGACATTTTCAGTCACGTAGGGTCTGATAACAAAGGTATAACAGGCTGAGGGTTCACTCCGAATACCTGCCCTGTCCAGCTGGAACCAGTCAACATGGGTTTGAGCACCCCAGGTCTAGTCCTGTTTTAAGTATCCAATCCATACTTATAACTGCATCTTACTATATGGGTGTGGTTATTGCTTAGGCATTTAAGACCCGTTTGGAGCAGCTGTATAAATATCATTTGGCCTTTGGATTTAATAAAGGAATTTATGGTTAAATTAGTGTCATGGTAATACTCTGTATTAATAATAATAATGCCAACCACCCTGACTGTGGTATAGTTAATGTTAGAGAAATTTGCTAAGTGCCAAGTACGTACACTTCACATCTACTAACTACAGCATCCTACAGGATATCCAGTAAGAGAACACAGCTTGTTTGTCGCACCCGAAACTAACAGGTCAAGAGGGAAGGAAGGTGGCACCGACTAGTGCTACACCACCCTATTCTGGTGACAGACAACTCACTAACCAGAAAGGCCAGAGTACAACCATGCCATCTGCTGGTGAAAGTACCCAAGGAAAAGAAGACAGTCAAAAAACAGTAAAGATTAGTTTTCAAAATGTACAAACCATAATCTGCTCAACAATCCCGAAACCACAGTGTTCAAGAGGATGTATTCTTCCAAACACAGATGCTTAACAGACAGGCTGGAAATTAAGCTGATTAAGGTTAGACAACAACATATTGTACAATGGAACTCAGTGAGCAAAGAGACTTTCCTTAAAAAAACCTCAAGAAGCAATATCCTTGGCAATTGTTTAGGCTAGGGATACCCAAATACTGGGTTACTCGGGGCTGCAATGGCAAACTTGCCAGCAGCATGAGTTTCACACCTAATAACACAAATAGATGCATGCAACTTGAAGCTTCTTTAATAGATTTAAAAAAAAAAATTGCTTGGCTGAGTACAGCAGCAGTTACAAGCCTACAGTAGATCCAGTTTTGTTTTCACCATAAAGCTGAATGGGGGAGGGCAGCAAGTGATATTTAAGAAAATCATTCTGTAAAGAGAAAGGATACACAAATGCTTTGCAGCAACACTCCAGTAAGCGCAGCAAGAGCTTGCAGCCTCCCAAGATCTTCACCGCCACCACTTCTATCACAGGCTGGCTGGGAACTAAGCACTCCCCTGCATTTTCAGATTTACTTTTCCTACATTGTCAGAAGGATAAGGAGATAGTGGTTACACTTAGCATTTGTATTTTCTTCTGAAGTTTTTAGCAGCTTGGAGGTAATGCTTACTGAGGCCTGGTCTACACTACAAAGTTAGGTGCCTTTGTGCATGTGTCTATTCTTAAATCCGTCTCCCACCTATGTAAGCGCCCTGTTATGGCAAGGCAGTAACACCCCTTCCCAAAGTGGCGTTGAGCTATGGTCGATGTACCAAGATTGACGCAGCAGGAGTACAGACACTGCATTACTTATGTTAATCCTAACAGTCTTCCAGCAGCTGTCCCACAATGCCAGACACTGACCGCTCTGGTCACAATTATGAACTCCACTGCCTAGGGATCACAGAGTGTGGAAGGCCCCCTCCCTTTAATGCCTCCTAATTGTCCCAGTTGGTGAGTGCACCTAGCAGCTCTCCATTGTTGTGTGCAACTGCTCAGCTGGACATGACAGCTACACACTCCAGACTTGCTCCAGCTCAGATTACATATGAGATCTAATATCTCCTGGGCCTGTAGGGAGAAGAGGCTGTGCAGATACAGCTACAGACTAGCTGTAGAAATGTGGACATCTACGAGCAGATTGCACAGGGGATGCAGAAGGGGTACGACATGGACGAGCAGCAGTGCCACATGAAAGTGAAGGAACTACATCAGGCATATCAGAAGGTCATGGAGGCCAACAGTCAATCTGGTGCCGAACTGCAGACATGCCACATTTACAAAGAGCTGCATGCCATACTTGGCAGAGACCCCATCACCACAATGGATACCTCCAAGAAGCCCGAGCCACAGGCCCCTGGCATGAACAGCAAGGATGAGTAGGAAGTGGAAGAGGAGTAGGATGTGGGACAAGTGACCAAGGGTCCAGCTATGATGAGCATCAGGACCTGTTTAAGACTCCACTGCAGTCCAGGCAGCATGGGAAAGTCCGAGCATGGGAAAGTCCGATGCAGAGGAAGGAACCTTAAGTGTAACTGTATTTCCCATTACATTGATGTACTGACAGTGCCCTCAACTTAACAGGGCACAGCTATCGACTTTTCATTAGTTTACTCATACTAGAAGAGGCAGCAGTAGAACAAAGAGAGGTAGCGTAGTTATCTGCTTTTCATTGCTCTGTAGAGTTAGGCAAGGGGGGGCATTCAGAGCAATTTGTTCATGTACACAGGGATGGCCCTGGAATCCTCCTGAAAGATCTCAAGGAAACTTTCATGGAGGTACTCTGCAATCCTCTCCCAAAGGTTTCTAGGGATGGCAGCCTTATTTCTTCCTCCATGGTAGGGCACTTTCTCACACCACTCAGTGATAACTTTGGCAGGCACTATTGCAGTATACAGGTAGCAGCATACAGGCCTGGGCAGCTTCGGAACACTAGCAGCAGCTGTGCTCTCTGTGCCTTTGTTACTCTGAGAAGTGAGATATCAGCTAAAATCACCACCCCCTGTGGGAAATGGTCCCAGTATTCAGTGCTGTTGCCCTATATTCAGTTTCATGCAAATGAGCAATTCCCTCACCCCTGGTGGGCCACACTCACCATGGCTGGTGCTGTGAGTGGCACCCTGCACAATCATGCCAAAGCAGATGTGTCAATGAGCGTGTCTTGTTTAATTCTTTAGGAGAGCAAAGGATGGGAGTTCTGAACCTCAACTTTCGCTTTCCGTTGTGACTATCCTGACAATGGTACCTCTATGCATTTTGTGCCGTAGCTGCCTTGAGGGGTTCCTGCTCCACATCCACTGAACGCCTGAGTCAGATAAGGAGGAGAAAGAAGAGGACTTGGGGTGACACGTTCAATGAAATCCTGCAAGCTAGTGCTGCATCAAACCATGAGCACAGGGCCCGGAGAGTGAACGCTGCAGACAGCCTGGAGAAGGAAAGAGCAGACAGGACAAAGGCCCAGGAGTCCCAGCAGGAAAAGGGGAGGGAGATGTGGGACGTAATGGGGCTTCTCTGACAACAAACACAGATGCTGCAGACTCTTCTGGACCTACGGGTTCAACAGTTACAGGCTTGTCTCCCTTTGCAATCCATGGGGAACTCCATTGCAGCACTTCCTTATACTCCTCCCCCGCCAACATTCCACATGGCATCTTGGGCTGCATCCCTGTCCCGATCACAGGATATTAAGGACAACCAGAGCATCACATAACTGACCTGTGAAAGCCACAGTTGCTGTATGTGTAGGTAAAGTGGCCATGAATGTTCTTTCCCCCTAGTTAAGTTCTGTTCCATTAGTTTTTAATGTATTTGCTTTTAAATTGCAGATTTTTCTTTGCACTTTTTGTTAATGAATAAAATTCTATTATTTGGAAAATAATTCATCTTTATCAGATCACAACATATGCTGCAGAGTATCTAGCAGTTCTGAAAGCACCCACTTGTTACTGTACAGTGTAACAACTCAGAGGATCAGTGACCTACAGTGTATTGATCATAAATGTACAGCAAGCACCACAAAATTAACAGGTGCACTGGCAATGTGATATTCATAGATGTACACCAACCACCACACAATTCCGAATAGGCCCCAAACAGCAGGGCCAGGGAGAGCACAGTCCACCACAACACATTCCTGTGACTTACTGTTGTCGTGCTCTATCAAAGCCTCCCTGAGCCGTATAGCTCCACACTGAGCAATTCTAGTAGCCTTTGTGTCTGGCTGTTCAGACTCAGCAGACAGCCACTCCACCTCACCCCAGCAGCAAACATGCCCTCTTTGCTTCACAGATATTATGCACGTCACAGCAGACGGTTGTAACCGCTGGGATGGTTTTTTTTTCCACTGAGATCCAATCTTGTAAGCATCCCTTCAATCTACCAAAAGCACATTCAACTGTCGTTCTGCCCCTTACTGCGCAGATAGTTGAATCTCTCTTTGCTGCTGTTGAGGTGGCTGGTGTACAGCTTCATAAGCCAGAGGAGTAACGTGTAGGCTGGGTCCCCCAGGATCAGTACTGGCATTTCAACATCACCAATGGTAATCCGCCGGTCGGGAAAGAAAGTGCCTGCTTGTGGCTTTCTGAACAGTCCTGTGTTCTTAAAGATGCAAGTGTCATGCACCTTCCATCACCAGGCAACACTGATGTTGGTGAAGCGTACCTGGTGATCCACCAATGCTCGCATAACCATTGAAAAGTAGCCCTGTGGCAAGGTGCTCTGGTGCCAAAATAGGGAGATGCGTGCTGTCTATTGCTCCACCGCAGTTCGGGATCCCACTGATGCAAATCCATCCACTATGCCTGCACGTTGCTGAGTCTCACGGTCCTATGTTGCATGAGACGATTAATGGCCCTGCATGCTTGCATGACAACGGCCCCTCCCGTGGATTTTCCATCTCCACAATGATTTCCTACTGGCTGGTGGCAATTCAGCCTTGCAAGTTTCCACAGTGCGATCCCCACTTGCTTCTCCACTGTAAGTGCAGCTCTCATCCCTGTGCTGGAGGGATGGGGCGAGCTCAGCACACAGATCCAGGAAGGTGGCCTTTCACATCCAAAAGTTCTGCAGCCTTTGCTCATCATCCCAAACTTGCATTACGATGAGATCCCAACAGTCAGTGCTCCTTTCTCAGGCCAAGAAGTGACTCTTCGCCATCTGCAGCTGCTCTGTGAATGGCACTAGCAACCTTGAATTGGTTCTCACTATGTCTCACAGCAGTCTGTCATCCAATAAATCATCATGTTCTTCACTGATTTGGTTCTTCTTATGGCTCTGCAAGTACTGAAGGATCATGTGTCCGTCCTGTGCTTGCAACACTTACGACAATAGCACAGAGCTGTGCAGACTCCATGCTTCTGTCAGAGATAATGGACAGTGAAGATGGCTGTACAGTTTCATGGAATTTTTTTTTTTTTTTTTTTTAAGACAAGAAAATTATGGGATATAGATGCCATTTTGCGATGCAGACAGTTGCACGCTGAAAAGTTGAGCCCTTGCTCCCAGACACCCCTGCATAACTCATTTCTGCCCCACCATGCATTGTCAAAACTTCCCAAGAGACAGTGAGCTGGACAGTGGCAGGTTGCACACTCGGATATCTACCCATGGTGCACTGCACTGTGCATCAACACAAACACTCCTGATAAGTTTTATGCACAGAGCCGATGCTAGGAGCCAAGTATGCACATGCACAAGCAATATACCATCTACGGCAGCGTTATGCCAACATAACTTGTGTCAACCAAACTTTGTAGTGTGGACATGGCCTAAGATAATGAATCATGTTGCAAGATAATGGGCGGTAAGATATACCGGGTCAGGAAGGAATTTTCCCGGGTAGATTGACAGTGGCCCTGGAGGTATCCTGGGTCGGGAAGGAATTTTCCTCCAGGGTAGATTGACAGTGGCCCTGGAGGTTTTTCGCCTTCCCCCGCAGCATAGGGCAGGGGTCGCAAGCTGGAAGATTCTCCGCAACTTGAAGTCTTTAGATCACGATCTGGAGACTTCAACAGCAGAGTTAAGGGAAAGTGGGGGGGTCAACATTTATGGCCTGCATCATGCAGGAGGTCAGACTAGATGACCATATTGGTCCCTTCTGACCTTAAAGTCTATGAGTCTATGAGTCTATATACAGTTTCATGCAACTTACTTGGGACACAACTCCGCCAGATCTTGAATGGAGCCCATCAAGTTCATCTGATTTAAACGCTTTAAGCATTGTTCTACCTGAAAAGAGAACAAACACCTTGAGTGGATACTTTCAGAAAAACAAGTTTTTTAGCCTAAGAGTCATCTGTTAAATAAGACAACAACTCCCCTTCTTGGTCTGCCAAGGGCAGTAGGTGGACCTTCTAGGTCTCGTACATTGATACATTCAAATATCTGAATAATGGTGGTGGGATCTCTCTATGACATTATTGTGACAAGAATTTACACTGGGGCAAAGAGATTGTTGATTAATGCTGACTCCTCTAGGCTGCATGTTGCTATTTTGAGGATTTAATTAAGTTTTCAAAAATAAAAATGCAAATGACTTCAGAAGGAGGCAGTGTGTCAAGTGGATAGATAGGAAGTCAGAAAACCTAGGTTGTAATCTCAATTGTGCTACAGCAATGAGCAGCATACTTATTATATTTAGATAGAATACACCAAATTTTTTTTAATTGATATTTATCAAATATATTCAGCTTCACTTTTTAAAGCTGCTTTGAAAAACTCAGTTCTTTCCCAAGGATAGTTTGCAGAAGTTGTATTTCAAAGGCAATTTGTGGATTATTTTTCCCCACCCATTATAAATTGAACACAAATATTTGTATTTCTATTATTCATGAATTGTAAGAAGCATGAAATGGATAAAAGCATCTAATTACATTTATTAGGGTCTTAACTTGAACAGAAAGGGTCTAAATATCGTTCTTACGGAAATAAGTAGCAGAATTCTCATTGATTACAAAGGAGCAAGACTTGATTCAAAAACCAGTGGAACTTACAATGTCTTAAAGACAAGCAAAGAGAGCTATGAAACTACCCAAACCCACACTTTTGGGATGAAAACAAGCCTGCCAAATTTCTTCCTCAAAAGAAATTTTGAGAAAAGTGCAATGGACTTATAACTGAGATTTAGAAGGCTCATTCAAACCATAATTATTTCATGAAGCTTCTTCTTGCTGACCTGTTTCAGAGACAAATAGGTTTTATGGTGAGACATTCTGTTGTGGAAACCATAAAGGATCGAATGTAAAACTTTTCCTTCTGCATCCACAGCTTTACTCTTTAGCAACGTGCTGACCTTGTAACATCCTTTAACAACAGCTGGGAGGCATCTCACTGAGGAAAAAATGAAGACATTAATCCATACAAGATAAATCATATTAGGACAGCATAAATTATAACAACCCATGTCCCAAAGCACATGGACCAAAGAAACATACTTCATAAAAGCTAGGAACTACCTGTCTTGTTTTCAAATACATTTGAACAAATACCAGTTTGTTACTCTTGCCTGCAATACATTCTTTAGTCCTTACTTATGATATATAACACGTGGGAGTTTCATTAAAACAGAATTTGAAAGTCATTTACTTCTCCCCACTTTTTGTGTTTTCCATTTCACTTAGCTTGGACAGTGCAACACAACTAGTTTAGGCAGTATCACTAGAGCTAGTCCAATAGATTTGGATTTGTGTTCCTAAAACTGCAAGGGAATAGAAATAAAACTGCCAGGTAGTGAGTTGAGGGAAGGGGTTGGTTTTTTTAAAATCATGATCACTTCTAGTCAGGTTTTGTTCTGTATTTAAACCACAAACCTTTAGAACTCTGGGACTAAAACTACTAGATCAGACCCTTTAAAAATCCATTCCCAGATCCTTGACAATCCCAGTCACACACACGCCTCACGCCGTATGCGACTAGCTGCGTTTCAGAGTCACAGATGATCTGCGAGTCAGGTACTGGTGCCTCAAGTTTACAGACGGGAAGGGCAAGAGCTAATGGCCCTGTACGCATGGGGGTGGGGGGTCGCCCCATATCCTGCAGAGCCTGCCTGGTGAGTTCTCCCACCCTTCCAGTGCAGCCCACTAATGAACCCCCCCGACTCCAGAATCCTTCCCGTGACGCCCCACGCACGCCCCTGCCATCTTCCCTCACGGTTCCAGCGGAGGGTGGTACGTGCTTGTTCTTCCCAGTGCCCCCTCCCCAGTGCTGCCCTTTGCTCCGCTACCTGCCGGGTGTTGGGCCGGCAGGGCCACCGTAGCGCAGCTCGCAGGCCACGGCACGCGCCACCGGTTCCACGCCGCCTCCCCCTGCACGGGCGCCGCCATCTTGCCGGGGTGAGAAGAGATCGGGACTCGGAGAGTGAAGACAAGGGGGGCGGAGCTACAAGAGCAGGAGGCGGGGCTGGGCGGAACCAAACCAGTGCGGGGGGGGTGTGGAGACGGGGAAGCGGAACCAAATGGTCTGGGCGGAGGAAGGTGCCTGGGAAGCGCAGACTCTCCTGGGCGGGGCCTGGTGCGAGGCTCCACCCCCCCGGGGCTCCTAGGGCGGGGCTGAGGCCCGTGGCTCCGGGGTCCCTAGCGCGTGGGCCGGGCGCTGCCAGGGCCCAGACCCCGCCGGTGCAGCCTGGCCGCCGCTGGGGTTGCCTCAGGCCCCAGCTCCTGGAGGCAGGCGATGGGGGGAGAAGCTGAGCTGGCCCCCAGGCAGGGAGTGTCTCGCCCTCCTGGCCGCAGAGCCCAGCTTGAGAGCGAGACCCCCGGGTTGCCTTGAGGCTATAAAGGCGAAGAACCCGCCAGGCGTTTATTATTATTATTATTATGATGATGATGATCTCATGATTTGTAAACCAATCTCATGATTTTTCGGGGGCCTGTAATTCGTGAGCTTTGAATGTCGAGGGCTGGCAGCGCTGCTGCAGCCGCTGAGATCACCTCAACGTGCATCCACATGGCAGGGATCTCGGGCAGTGTGGCCAGCAACCTGCCCTTCAGGGAATCATGCCTGTCCCAAGCCAGGTCGCTGCCCCTCCCATCGCAACTGAAAGTAGCACTGGACATTCCCTAAACAACAGGTGCAAAACCTGCGGACATATCATCACTGTGTCTGCTACAATGATCAACATCCCCCACAATACACCTTTCAAGAGCCAGGGGGCCCTACAGGCGTCTATCACAGCATATGGTGTCCATCATCCAGTTAACTAAATGCCCCAACAACAACTATGTGGGTAAAATGAGACGATCACTACACTGAACTCACACAGGGAAATGATAAAAGACAAAAACACCACATGATCTGTCCATCACAGGCATCCAGCCACTTTTCACCAAAGTGATGTGAAACCTGGGGGCCCTGTCTCATCACTAATGGGGGAGAAGGGGGGCTGGAATAAGTTATACTGGCAAAGACACAGGTTTGCCAAGGTAAGCTGGGTCCGTACTAGGAGTGTTTTATCAGTATAGCTATACCATTAAAGCGCTGCTAGTGTAAGCGTTTGGCCTCACTGTTAGGTGATCAGGAAGCATCAATGCTGAACAAAAGGAAAAGTCGTCTTCCACCTCCAGCTTGCTAAGAAACTACCCCTTCCTCCAGATGAGGATCTGGCCAGAGTGATCCATGTATCCATTACCTCCAAATTGGGTAATTGCAACTCACTGTTTCTGGGGCTGACGGTGGATAAAATGCAAAAGCTCCAGTTTATACAGAATGTGGTTGCTTGGTTGCCCCATGGGACAGGCCTCTGAAAACACACCACCCTGCTTGCTGTCCACTGATCCAGAGGTCTCTTTCAGCATCATTAATTACCAGGTGTCTCCTTCCCACTAAGTATGTATATTTATAGTAGATTATTTCCATGCTTAATCTAATTTGTTGAGCCCATGAGCCACATTTGTTCTAATTACAAACCTGTTGAAATCAATGGAGTTATGCCAGACATTAATTTTTTCATGTTTCGAATCTTTCAAGGTCCCTTTTAATTTTTTCTCAGTCTTCATTCACTGGTGCTTGTATAAATAGAGAGTAGATGATGAAAGTAATGGTGTCCCTTTAAGGAGCTGTAGCCTAAAGTTGCTCTGAATGGTCCCACCTGAAGACGAGACAAGGCAGAATGGATAAAAGACTGGTAGATGCACCTATGGCTGTCTGAGGAGTAGATGTAGAACAACCTAGCCAAAAACAAGCATATGGGGAGTGGTGAAAGTAAAAAAATGGATTATTCAAGCTGTGAATGGAGGAATGTCACTAAGGTTTCTTTGGGAGAGTTTCTGAGATGTTGTGACCAGCCAATAAGTGAGGAGCAGGCCTGGGCCCTTTGCTTTCAATGTTGCCATAAAATGAAGCAGTTGGCTCAGGGCCCCCACCCTGTGGTGATTAAAGGTCTGGGAAGCATCCTTATCCATTCTGATGGTGCTGTTTCCTTCACGGTGCGTCCTAAGTCTGGTAAGAACAAAGGCACCAGTGGATGGGGCTCTTAGACAAAAGTCTTCTCTCTCTGATAATGCTATGGGTTTCTTTATTGTGCCCATGAGAATGTACAGCCATGTGATTCTGTCTCTGAAATGCTTTCCATAGTGAATCCCATGGATCCCGCTACAAATAAAAAACTAACTTGTGGTATTGCCTGATATGTCTTTGAACCCAATGTCTATGCTCCTAATGTGAAGGGCTGTATTCTCCAAACCAATTAGAGTATCTGCAGAGAATAGAGAAGAAAGAGATACTAAGTGGGTGCATACCTGTAGTATTTCTAATGGTTAGAGTATCTGACTAGGAGTCAACATTTCTGGGTTCTAATTCTGCATCTGCTGCTCTTCCCCACCTATAATATGGGGATAAAATACTTTTCTAGTTTACAGGGATGTTTTGAAACGTAATTACTGTTTGTAAAGTATTTTTGGCAAGAAAGTGCTATAGAAGTGCAGTGTAGGACTATTTCTCCCCTTCCTCCCTCCCCTCCCCCCCACCCCAGTTATCTATTGAATCACTTGGTTTGGGGGAATAATTTGGACAAATGTCTGAGATAAGGGACTCTGGTTCCTGGAAATTGATTGTCTTCACCTATATGGGTGCATACACATACAACATATTTGTGTTTTAATCTGAGGCTTTGGTGACCTGAGAGCTGCTTAATCATATTGATGTACTCCCTAGCCTGTTTGCTTTCTGCTGCTAAACTTTCTCTGAAAGTAGCAGTTGTACTGGTATGTGACTGTCAGTTGCGGGTGGTGAGGGAAGAGGGACAAGTGGCTGATAAAGACTCAGAGGTCATTTTGTGGTAGTATTCGGAGCAAAGATGAATCCCACTCCCACATTTCTTTTTGCTGACACCTCTAGGGATTCTGTGGCTGTTGCTAACTCTTGTATCCTGGAGAGGAAAGGTGGACAATAAATATGCCTTCCTTTACCAAAGGTCAAACATTGGTGTAAAGACAGAGCTATATTTAGGCATGTTCTCTTCCCAGCATACCACCACCACACACTACTGAGTGCAGAAGGAAAGGAGAATTATTCTTTCTTTGGGTTAACAAACATCCACTAGTAGATCACCGCCACCACGCCTGGCTCGAGATGGAAGATGTACCAGGCATCTTCTCTAGTGACCTCAGATAGTCATATTCAGTTTACCTCCTCTGGAAAGGGGAGGATTGCTGTGATCCAAGGCTTCTGGAGGTCTCCACCATGACACTGCACCCCATATTCTTCATAGTGATATGATATGATTATAGATAATTATGCATTTTATGCAAGATTCGTCATGTGAGATGTCATTGGAAAAGTTATGATTTGCTGAACATGATTATCCTGTTGGTACGCATGTATCATTTTTGTAACTGAAGTTATGAACATAAATTGTGTATCTGTATTTCAAATGTAGTTACACCTGGGTGATGCCCACTAGGCAAGATGCTTTTAGTCTAGATAGCTGGCTGGGAAAGGCCTATTCAGGATAATGAGCCATTAGGGAAAACAATAGGCCTTAGGAGAAGCTTATCTCCCACCTGCTGAGCCTTCCTGAGAAGGCTCCAGACAGCTTTCAAGTAATGGCTGCTATGACTCCACAAGGTCATGAGACCAGGCCACATGTTTCTGGACTCCATCTTGGGCTGTCATTGTTTTTCCACAAACTGAGTTTTGGGCCAAAGGGTTCCTGCCATATGCTAAAGTTATATAGGGAGGGGAGTGACCTCATCCGTGGTTTTTCATTCCTCACTCAAGAACACTTCTGAAAACACCTGAGGAACAAAAACTGAACTGTCAGGATTTGAATTACTCTCTCACCCTATCTTTCTGGTATGTTAAATTTAGGTTGTGTTTTTGTTTATTTACTAGGTAATCTGCCTTGATCTGTTTGCTATCACTTATAATCATTTAAAATCTATCTTTTGTAGTTGTTAAACTTGTTTTTGCTTTCACTAAACCAGTGAGTTGAAGTGAACTGCTTGGGAATCTTAGCTCAGAGAGGCTGTTGCATTTCCTCTCCACATTGAGGGGCAGGGGAACTGGATAATAAATTCATACTGGTTGGGGTTTGGACCAGGGCAGGACAGTACCGCTCTGGGGTGTTAAGCTAGGAGTTATTTTGGCTGTAGCCTTTCTACTGTTGCTTCATGCTGTGGCTGGTCAGAGAGCCTGCATGTAACTGCAGCTGGGTGTGTCCCTACCTGGGTGAATGCTGTGGAAGTGCAGGACCAGGAGTGGGTCTGCAGCTTGTCACAGCAGCAGCACAGTGTGAGCGGGACCCCAGGTTGGTGAGTCAGAGGCTCAGTGGCACCCCAGTCACATCCATCACCAACAAAAAACCAAATGCCGACTCTAATTATCCTCTCTAGTATGGACTTAAGTCTGTAGGGATTGGTAAACTGTTTGATCTTTTTTCACTTGTTTCCCTTTCAGATGTTAACAAGACTCAACAACTGGAGGAGCAGGTAAGACTCTGGAGTTGAGAGATGACATTTAAGAACCTGTGATTTTTAGTCTGGCAAATGCACAGATATAAACCTGCATTGGTAAAAGGACTAGCTAAAGCAGGGGTTCTCAAACTGGGGGTTGGGACCCCTCAGGGGGTCGTGAGGTTATTGCATGGGGGGATTGGCAGCTGTCAGCCTCCACCCCAAACCCTGCTTTGTATCCAGCATTTAGATTAAAAACACTTTTTTATATATTTAAGGGGGGGGAGGGTGTCGCACTCAGAGGCTTGCTATGTGAAAGGGATCGCCAGTACAAAAGTTTGAGAGCTACTGAGCTAAAGGAAACTCAGCAGTCTTGCTCTTCAGTGACTCAGCAGGTTCATAAGATTCCATGGTCATCTAATGTTCATGGCACTTCTGCTGTCCCAGTGGCTTGCCTAGGGTGTTGTCTCCTGCATGGGAGTGGAAGTCTAGGTGAAGTTCCAGGACTAAATTAAAAAATGACGCAAATTGACTGGGCATAAGATAGACACTGAAGGGGTGGGGGAGGTTGAGTTGTGGCAGGAAATGCTGTCAACAGTGGGTAAGAGATAAAGTAGGCTGCTCTCCCTGCTGCCACAGCTCACTTAAACAATGTTATGTAGCCGTATTTGGGTGTTACAACTGAATTAGGCCCCAGTCTCTTATCCCCAGTTGATCCAGGAGCATCTCAGTAGCTGCTTGAATGACCGCGGTAGGATTATGTTGTGTGTCCAAAGAGGCAGATGGCCTTGAATGTGGGGAAGGGTGCTGGCATGGTTGGGAGGGGTAGAAATCTTGATAAAGTTCCTAAATGGAACCCCATCTCCACAATACCAAATTATTTCTTCATTAATCTGAAAGACCATTTCCTTGGCCTCTGTAGCTGACAGAGCGTCTGGGAATGGTAATCTATAAAGCCCTGGACTGGGGGATTGACAACCATCTGGAGCGAGAGCTGAGTGAACCACTGGAGAAGCTGATTTCCCTCCTTCTGAAATTGAACACTGAGGCAACAAAACCAGCAATCACTTTCCAGGATGTCCTCAAGGTTTTCCCCCTTTCTTATTTTTACTATACAACCATGTCAACTTCTCTAATGTATCTGCACTTACCACATTACCTGACTGCTCCAGTGCATTCTGGGAAAATCTGGTCTTGGCCCCACCAGTGCATGTGAGCTGGTGAACTCAGGAAGATCCTACTGCACAGTGATGGGAGGAAGGAAGAGGGGCAAACTAGTTTCACGGGCATTGGTCAGGCTACGTACACATGGCCCACTGCTTGCAGGAAACCCCGTGCCAGCCTAGGCCACTGGCAAGGACCCCACACAGGTGGCACAGCTACTAATTGTAGCGAGGATGGGAAAACACACCATGTGTAAGGTCTTAACAACTTACAAACTGAATTAATATCTGTAGAATGGCTAGGCCCTTAATCTCCAGTTCTCTCCTCTGTGGCTGTCTCCTGTGCAAGTACCTGCCTTGAACTTAAGCTCATAGAAACATGCCTGCAGGCAGCATGTTTGTGGTTCCTACTTCTCCCTCCCCCCCCCTTTCCCCCCCCACCCCGACTTTGCCTGATTTTCCAAGTCACCTACAGAGATTCAGCATATTTGAATAGGGTCCCGATAAGCCCCTGGTAGTAAAAAGAAAGTTATGGGCACATCAGTGAGAAAGCATGGTGTTAATGCACCTGTCCTGCCTTCAGGAGAGACTTCTGCAGATAAGAGGAGAATCAGTGCTTGCAGCATTCTGTCTATTCTTGGCCTGGCAGCTGAATGTAAGTGTAGACGGTCAGGAGAGACTAGTGCACAGTCAGAATGTGGACCCTCCCAAGCAACCTTTCCCATATCCCAAGGGATAATGGGACCCTCTACTCAAAAGCAGCACTGAAGTTAAAGGAAATGCTTCATCTAATCCTAATAGCTATCCTCTTTTCAGGCCTCTGGATTCTAGCGGGCAAGACAGTTATGATATAGCTGTGCAAATCCACCTCTAGGCTAGACTAACCTTTTTACTAGAAGCCCTCCCCATATGGGCAGGTATTTTTGTATCAGTAGAACTTAGGCAGCGTGCAGGCACTAAGAAAAGCTTTATCCAAAGCAACACATGCTCTCTGGTCTGTGCTCTAGCTTCAAAGTGCTGTCCAGACACTGAGCCTCACAACCCCTCTTCCATTTTACACATGGGGAAACTGAGGCATATAGAAACATGTGTCCAATCCTTACAGCAGGTTCCTGAAAGAGCTAATGATTCCTACTTTGTGCCTAGTCCATTAGACTGTTCTCAAGGAAGTTTTCTCGTTCCAATCTCTGGTCAACTGGCTGGTGTGCTCAATGCACAGAGCAGCCATAATTTCAGTCTGACAGGTTTATTTTTAGATTTAAGGAAAACAGAATAAAAACAAGTCTTCATGAGTGTACACAGTGGTTTCCTCTAACATGCTGTCTCGGCCATGTCTCAGAAAAGGGCAGCCTCACCAGAAGACGAGGAGTTATTTAAATTTCCAGTATATAGAGGAGGATAAATTACATAACTCCATACATCACAGCTGGCACAAAATTGGGCTTTCCCTTTCTCTAGTCCTCTTCCCTTTGCCCTCCCAGCAGAAGGGAGGGCTCTTCTGAGCTGTAACATGCAAGGGACACAAGGAAAGGTGATCCTAATCTCAGAACCTGAATAAACTGGAAACTGAGAGGCAACCTGCCCCCCCCATCCCCAAATCCTTTATTTCAAGGAGAACTTTCTTTCCAACCATCAGTGCTGAGTATATGGCTGCATTTCCTTTCAGATCTGTGAGGAGCATTTGCCCAGGCCCTCTGAGGCTGCCAGCTATTACAGAACAGTCTGCAGGGTTCTCTTTGCTGAGTACGTAGATCTTCAGAAACTAATGCTCACCCTACAGAGCTCCAAAGAGGTATTTTGGGACCATCATTAAGCTGCTGTCTCTTTCCTCCTACCTCACACACTTAATTCCAGGCTAATCCTCTTGCCTTTCCCCAAGCAGAAGGTTATTTAGCTAAAGTTCTATTCTCTGCATGTGAAAGGGGTGGGCTTTCTCCCAAGAGCCAGAATACATTAATCTCGTGTATTTGTCTTCCACATTGTGTTGTTTTGTTTTGTTTTTTTCAACTGTTGAAGTTGGCAGTACTGTGACTGGGGCTGGACAGACAGGGATGGTCTAGGAATGTCTGGAACAGTACAGGCTAATCAGCTCACATGTTTGTTTGACAGAGTCTAAGAAGAATGGATGTGGAGGACTTGCTGGAAAATGACACTCAGAGGGAGAAGGATAATTACTGGGTAAGAGTTTTTAGAATTGTTGGTTTTGGTTGGTTTTTTTTACTCTCTGTGAGGCCTTCCAGTGACTTCCCAGCTTAAAACAAATAGAGCGAAACATAACTAGTTAAAACCCTCTAAATACCAAGTGACACGTTATACTAAATTCTAGCTCTCTGTGGGAATTGCTATCTGTCCCAAGAGCAGTTCTCTTCTCTTTGGTCTTGTCTACACTGCCAACTTTGGGGAGATCTCCTACTGTAGCACTGGTGCTAACAATGCTGGATGTGCTACTGTAGATCAGCCAGTGACATTCTAGTCACCAGGAGTCCTGTGGCACCTTATAGACTAACAGACGTATTGGAGCATAAGCTTTCGAAGCGGGTATTCACCCACGAAAGCTTATGCTCCAATACGTCTATTAGTCTACAAGGTGCCACAGGATTCCTTGTCGCTTTTTACAGATCCAGACTAACACGGCTACCCCTCTGATTCTAGTCACCATGTCACGTAGACCTGCTGTGAGCAGGTTTAGATGTCAAGATAGCTAAAGGCCATTGGCTTAAACTGTTAGCACTTGTACAGCTCCATCAGAGCTAAAGCAATGGTGGGAGATTCCCAGAAAAAGGTCAGTATAGATGTAGCTTCCATGTTTTGTTTTTTTCCCCACCACCTTCTCTAGTCTTATCCCTCTAGTTGTTGGACTTCAAGATTCCTGGGGCAGGGAAATGACTTGTTCTGTTCTGTCCAGGGCCAGTGAATTCAGTGCTCCAAAGTAAACAGCTCTTCTGATTGGAGCCTTGCCAAGGTAAACCAAATGCACTGGAGTCTAAGAGACGGGAACAGCAACCCCCAAGGGAGCTGCTCCTACTCCCTTTGTCTAAATAGTGTTCACTTTGAAACATAACAAACCATTCATATGAAAATGTTTGTGACATATGTGTTTAGGCATATTTTCAGTTTTGTCATGTATTAAAATAAACTAGCAAGTTAACTCGCACTCCCCCTGAATAAGCTACGTGAGATTGATTTAGTGGTCTGGGAAGGCCCAAGTAAATGCATGGGCTTTGCAGTGTGGCCTGAAAGCCCAAGAGATTCCGCTTCACTTAATTAAGAAAAGTGCCATTTCAAAAGCAAGAGCCCCATTGCCAATCCTCTGCCTCTAGTTTCCCAGGTTCAAGCCCCGCAAGAGCCAGCTGCTTGCACCATCCTGGCAGGTAGCCAGGGCCCAAGTCAACCCCTTGATTCTTGAATTACATCTGGTAGCTAAAGCAGTCTGTGGAGCACAGGATTATACACTTAGTATGCTGAACATCACCATTAGGCAGACCCCTCCTTAGGCACATCTGGTGCAGAGCTGTGCTGTCCTAGCTATATACGTATGTTGGAGTATCTAAGGCACCGATCACCTTGACCTCAATGCTTAGATGCCTCTTCAGAGTATAACTGTTGCACCAGCCTTTAAGTGTGCGCTCCCCTGCCAAATAACTGTTAAGTGGGTGGAGCATGTGTGCATATCTCCACACCCCTTTGCATTCATGAGGCTAATGCTGCTAGCTCTTCCTCTGCTTGGGTAACCCTGACTCCAACTGTGCCTGGGACACGTGTGCAGGTTGATAGAACAGCATTCTGTCATCTGACGTCAGGGTAGCCCCGTGCAGGGTCTGGAGGGAACAAAAGTCTGGGTAACCACTTTAAGGTCCATGGCTGAGAGGGTTCAACCTTAGCCAAATGCATATGAAGGCTAGCAGGGGAGAGTGCGCTAGAACTAGTATCTGTGTACTGCACTTAAAGTCTTCCTAGGAATAAGGCTGCGAGTTTTGGCTGTGAAAAGAATGGAATGTTCTCTTGGACAGTTGGCTAATGAACTACTTAATACTGTCCCATAAAGTAAGGTGAGGTGCTGTTACAACCAGAAAAGGACTCTGGTGCTGATTGCAGTAATTACAGTACTCTTTTCTGTAATACTTGTTAGTGAAGGCAGTTCAGCTTAAGCAGTCACACAGCTGCTTGTGTCGGTCTCTTTTGCTATTGGCCAGTTTGCCTGCAGCCTTTCCTTGGACATCCTTGAGTTAAAAAGGTAGCTCAATGTTCTGCTACTCCAGAAATACAATAGTTCAGGAAAGACTGTCTCAATATGGCTGTCCTTTACTTCAGTTGGTTGCAACATTACTCCATTTTTGTAGTGTAGACAGGACCTTATGTGTAGCTAGGTTAAAACCATGGGCAGTCCAGGTTCTTGACTATCAGGGCATGCAACTAAACATCCCTCTCATCTATGGTGCTTGGGGGCTGCAGCTGAGTTATGACTCTTGTCATGTCTTCCAAATGTCCTGCAGTTAATAGTGATCAAGACCTGATATTGCAGATTGTGGGGGGGTGGAAGGGGGAGGCCATGGGAAGGCAAATGTGGGAAACTTAAGTTTTTTAAGACAGGTCTAAATCAAAAATACTGTAGTAAAGGGGGCACACACAACCTTCTTATTCTGATCACCTCTAAGATCGAGAAGGAAAGAGTTTAGGTAACACTATTAAGCTGTTGATTTAACACGTGGATCTGAACTGGATTGTTTTGTTGTGTTAATGGGATGATCTTGCAGGCCCAAGCACCAACCTAAAAGCAGTTGCCTTGAAGATTGAGATAAAGAGCAGAATGGATACATATTGTAGTTGCCAGTCTGGATCCCATAGTTTGAGTTAATTTATATTATTTCAGCCTTCTTACCCCTTCTTCTTTGGGGCACTCAGAAGGATTATGAAGGCTGCATTTTATACTGTAGGCCACCTTTAATGACTTAATATCTTGCCTAGTATCTCATCCAAAGACCTTGAAGAGAAATTCAAAAACACTAGACCTTTCAGTTTCAACAGTCATCTGAGGTAGCTAAATTATTTCAACTATTTGCTCAGGTAAACTGAGGCACGGGGCCACACATCAAAAGTTAGTGACAACTGAGACATGAACCCACCTGAGTTCTGGTCTCTCTCTGCCCGCCCCTCTGTGGCCCCTCCCCCCGCTCTAAGCACTGTACTACTCTGTCTGAATTTCTAAGCAGGTTTAAATGAGACTCTCTCAGATATTTGTGCAGCTACAAATGGTTTGTAATTGCTAGTTGAGCCCTTTATTGAATGAACGAATACCACCTCAGAGATTCCAGAGATCTTTTAACTGGCTCATGTTGCCCTGTAGCAGGCTAGCTTGTGGCACGATGTCATCAGGGAACTGCAGAATGGTGTGAGGCTGCGCAAGGCCATGGAGCGACCTCAACATAGCGTTCCTCCCAAGGAATATGCCCGGTCTCCCTATGAGCTCTTGGCAGAGGACATCCGACGCAAGAGGTACACCCTCCGCAAGGTGAAGGTGAGCAGTTGTTCTCAACACGCTTAATTTGGCATCTGCTGCTCTAGCTACCTGGCAACTGACATCTGTTTGATTAAACCCAACCTGTGTCCTCACACTCTTTCCTTCAGAGTAACTTCCAGGCTTCAAGGGTGGGTGAGAACTCATGAGCTCCACTTGAGCATATAATGGCCACCATATTCACCCACCAACTCACTTCATTTCTAAGAACTAAACTTAGTGCTATGTAAACTATTCTAGGCTACCTTGTCTGAAGCCACTTCATTAAACTGTCTCTTGCTCACTGCCTTTCCCAGCTCTGGAAACACTGATCTGTGTCTCCACAGGCTCTCTAAGGTGCATCCTACTTGATCTTCTTGGCAGTATGCAGTTCAAAAATGGAGGCCTCTTACATGCGAGCTATCCAAAGGGAAACTTACTAGTGGCCTGCCTCAAGCAGAGGGCCTTAGGCAGCACTCAGTGACTTGAATGGGGGTTTGGGCAAAATAAGGAAAGCTGAACAAGTTCCCAGCAAGGTCTGTTGTGCTGACTGAAGTGTTAGTGGGCTCCAATGCTGCTGATTGCTAATGTGCTCCGAGACGACGATGGAGTTCCTCTAAAGGACTGCAGCATCACCACTTGCTTGCCACTGCTTGAGCTAGGTCAGTTTTAAAAGCTGGCATGAGGTGGTGCGGTGTTGCGATGTCATGCAAGCCGACTCTTTGGCACGAGATGAGAAACAATTTGGCGATAATGACCTATCGTTACAAAATAAAAATCTTGCCTACCACACTAAATGCCAGCTCTTCAGCTGCTTATTGTACGCCCTCCTAAAGTGAGGGGGAATGACATACCTGGTTCAGTCAGGGCTGACGAGCTTCACTTTGAAAATCCTCCCCTCACCCTCCTTCACCAGCTGTCAAACACCAGCTCCTGGACTACTGTGGTGTCCTTCCAATTGGGCTGAGAAACTGTACTTGGATCCTGAGTCTGAACCCAGCTAGTACTGCATACACCATTTGCAAGGTGCTCAGATACTCTGGTGATCAGAGGAGGGCACAGAAGTACCTTAGAGTAGACTATATGCAACAGCAACAGACCCCAGTCGTTGGCAGGCAGGATTAAACCTGGGACCTCTGGAGCTTAGTGCATGAGCCTCCACCACATGAGCTAAAAGCCAGCTGCCTGTTAGCTAAGGCTGTAGAGCAGATTCATTAATCTTTCTCTCTAAGTGGTCTCGGTGCCACTAGATGGGACAGAACACCACACCCAGGAGGTGTGGGGGTTACATATACATAGAGGAATAGTGACAGATAGGAGGTGATACATCACTAGCTGTTACATGTTATGAGGTATAAATTGCAGGTGCACTCAAAATCATAACCTAAGGCAGCAGAATGAACTGGGTCTTCAGCTGTGGTCCATGGATCATTGGTGTGTCAAATATATCACAAAAGCATTTGTCAAGCAGTTGTAAGTGTACCTCCTGCTAGCTACAGTGCAGTCCTCGATCAAAACAGCCACTGGAAACCATGAGTGAGTCATCAAAATTCAAATAAGCCCCTCTGCATCTTCAGTGCTGCTTTGCATCAGTCTTTGTCAAACCAGGGTCAAGTTTGCAAGCACAAATGAGAGGAATAGGCAACACAAGAGGATAGATGGCAAACTGACCTGGAGACACTCTGCTAGTATCTAGTATCTCCCCTCACTGCCTGCATTCCCCAGTGTTCTAAAGCCCCACTCCTTGGTAAAGCAAACAGCACAGGTACAAAATAGGGCTATCCAACAAATGCAGCTGCACCCAATATACTAAATGGAGTCTGATTTTATTTTCTCACAAATACTGTCCTCTTGTGACAGCCCTACCCATGCTGCGGGGGTCATAGAAGAGGTGCCCATGTGATAGAATCTCTGTCTTCGTGTTCTCCAATGAGAGAACTTGAGAAACAAACTTATATGTGCCTGCTAGCTACTTCTGTTACAGTTAACCTGTTTAGGAGCTTCTCAGTTAAACTACAAGGGGGTGCTATTCTTAGGGTGACCAGACAGCAAGTGTGAAAAATTGGGATGGGGGTGGGGGTTAATAGGAGCTTATATAAGAGACCCAAAAATCAGGACTGTCCCTATAAAATTGGGACATCTGGTCACCCTAGCTGCTATTGCTTTACTGGATAGGGAAGCTCTGCTGCATGAAGTCCCCTCTCTGTGACACCATGGTCTGGATATGTTGTAATTTTGGAGTTGGTGCATTATGAGGCTTCTTAGAGCCTTGAAACTCTTTATGCTGCTTCTATCCAGGATCTTTTCATGGGCTGCAGGAATTTTGTAAGTCTTATGCACATACCTAAGGACTGCCCAGCTCCCAGTATATCGCCATGTGCTATTTCTTCACAGGCTTTTCTCCTTGCAAAAACAGCTTTCAATCCTATTGCCCTTTCTACCCTTTGCTCCCAAGAAAGCAAATGTCTTCTAATAGGACTCTTGTTTAATCTCTTGCCTAAAAAGATTGACTTGAGTTAGACACACACTTGTGAAATGCCATGAGTGGCTATGTAAGGTCGTGAAACTGTATTTCCTAGTTCATCCTCCGTTTCTGGGGAAGGAGGTTCAAGAAAAAATTAACTTTCATCATTTCATAAGTGTCCTTTTCGCCCTTTCAGATCAACAGTGAGCAAAACTGCAAGAGCTCTGAAGGCAACACAGTCGCTTCACAGCCCCCTTTAAAGCCAGTAAGTGACTTGTTTAGTTGTGATGGCATGAACAGAAGGATCCCTGAACTGGCTGAAGCAATACTGACCTATCCCATTCCCAAGTCCGGCAAGGTAGCTTGAATGTTAGAATATCCCTTTTTTATATATAGGCCAAACTTTAAAAGGCCCGCTGTGTTACAGGGGGATGGGACAATGACTCAGATCTTCACCCTTTTCTTCCCATGTCATTTCTAACTAATGCAGCTGCTTCTCTTCCTTTTTGCCTCCTAAAATGTTTCTGAACAATCCTGGTCAAGCTATGGTTCACTTACTATAGCTTCTACTTTGAGTTAGTCCATGGAAACGTTCTCCATTCGTTAACAAAACTCTATATTGTTCCTATAAATTGGAATTTGCGTGTAAAGTGCACAGGTTACAAATGGTGAGAGTGCTGGGGCTACAGGATTTCTGGCTGGGTGTGGAGACTGACTTGTGAAATCATGCCCCTTCTGAGAAGTGCACTTCTATTGCTCTGGGGGATCTGGATTTTATCCAGTGGCTTTTCACAGCTCTCTACTCCATGTTGCAGGCCTCAGAGAGGAAGCTAAAAGAGAACTCCCCCAAAGCACCCAGTCTGCACGACCTGCTCATGATGGAAATAAAACAGCCACAGAAGCTTCGGCCGTCTTCCACAGAGAAAAATGGGAGCAGGCACAAAGGTACCTACTGGTACTGCTGGGCATCCACTAGTAGTAGGCATACTTGTGATGTATGAGTTGGTCATGGGTCAAGTAAGGGACGCTAAGGAGCTTGGATCAATTTTCAGAGGCACCAGCACTGCTACTTTTCAGACATAGAATTGTAGGACTGGAAGGGATCTTGAGGTCATCTAGTCCAGTCCCCTGCACCTCTGGCTTATGTCACCTGCTAGGGCCCACGTGCCTGGGCTGGAGTCTCTCACCTCGTACAAGAAAGATGGGGTAAAAAGCTCAACTCCTGTGAGACTAAAAGGATGCAAAGGGTTGCTGAGCCATCACCGCCTCCAAGAGGTCCGGTGTGAGACTTATGGAGTCTGTCATCAGTGTCTTGCATCTACAGCTCACTTATGTTGCAGGGTTTTGGTTTTTGTTTTTTGTTTTTTTTCTTCCCAGATACTTTTGTGATGCCAATGTTTTCCTTGAATTCCCCGTGTGGCAATGTCTTATCTGTCCAAAATGCCAGTACAGGACTTACAATTCACAAAGTTAAAAAACAGCTGCTGATCCCTGACTTGCTGGTCCCAGAATTTCAGGTAAGTCCTTTTAAATGAAATCTTGCTATAGAGGCTGAAATGGCCCAAATATTTGATTTTTGAAATATACAGGCACCCTGGAACGTCAGGTTCAAATCCCAGCATGGGCAACTTGGCCCTTCACTCTTCCAGGGTGAATAAATTGGAGTACCAATCAGTTCATTTGAGTCCTATCTACCCTCCAGAAATCCAAGCCCTGTGTAAAAATGTGATCATTTATGTAGTGTAGATGGAGCCTTTAAAACTGAGGTTCTCACTGCTCTCAATGCACATCCCATGACTCTTTTCATAAGAGTTGGGATCTGTGAAGCCAATGTTAGCCAAAATGTCTTCTGCTCCCCTTCCCTTTATCACTGCTCTTCATGCCAGAGGTGTCTGCATTTCATGTGTTATGGGATATAGTGGAGATAAATTACTCACTGCAAGTTAATCATTCGACCTTCTCTGCTTATGGAATATCTGAGCAAACGACAGTTTACTTCAATAAGTTAGGGTTATTTTTTTTAAGATTATGATTATTCTATGAGTTGATCATGAACAGTTCTGAGTACTTGGTGTCTGAAATTCAAGCTGTGTTTAGTCAGTCACATGTCTGTTTCTGTTCCCTAATGCAGTCACTTTTTTCTTCTGGCACAAATACTCCTGCACATAAACTGGAAGTTTATTTTTTTATATGCACTTTTGTCAGTGAAATGCTTTTCTCTGACTTAAGCAATTGCAAATGTGAATGAATATTTGTAGAAAACTTTTAGCTGTATTTTCACAGCTCCAGTGTATAGTTGGTAGGAACTTGTAATCTTTCTGATGACAATGTCTCATATAGCTCCATTGATTCTGAATCATATTGGTGTATCTCTAGTGGTAAGGCTTGTACAAATGCTCTTGGCTAGCAGGATTGCAGCAGCACAAGCTAACAGTTCAGGATTTTAAAACAAAATCCAGTTATTGAGGTTTCCTGTACTCTAAGGACCTCTTCTCAAGCAGTTTCTATTGTAGGGTCTTGAACTTCCACTAGTTTAGATTAGAGAGAGGCCAAAGCATTGGTACTTGGAACCATCTGGGGGTTAGGCTATGTCACCCACAGAATCTCCTGAGTTGCTTTCATGAGTTTCTGCATGCAAACTGGAGCCAGGAAAAAATTAGCTTCCTACATGGGCCCAAAGCTGTAGGAGGAGAGTCTAGATTCAAGGGCTGTATTTGAACATCTTCCATCCCTGAAACTTTTGAGGGAGGCTGGAGTTGAATTTAGGATTTGGGTCCCATCTCTATTTTTAAAATTTTACTGGGTCAAATTCATCCGTGATGTAACTCCAGTGGAGTTTGACTCATTATTGCTCTTCTGAATAATCTGGAACATGGTGTGTGAATTGAGGTGAACAAGCCAGCTAATTTCACCACTACTTCTGCTTACCTTACCACTGCCAGATGGTTGGCTCTCATAAGAGCCCCTGTTGTCTCATTCATTGTCAATGAGCATATCTGCTCTTCTCAGGGGCTCTTGGTTATGCTGAGGTGACCTTCCCACCCAACCCTACCTCTCTGATGTGGTGTTTTATACCCACTGTAAAAATCTCCCATCTGTGATCCACAGGAAGCAGACGGGGCATTGAAATACAACTTGGGAGTCATCTCACACAGATCTGTACTGACATCCAGCAGCACAGGTCAGTATGCCCTTTCCTGCCTTACTCTCTCCTCTCACAACATGGTCTAAATACTTGAATCAAGGCGTCCTCCATTCTTATGAGCCCAGTCCATCTTCCTCTGCTTCCTCCTGCTTTTGAAGTCACTTGTCTTTTAGAGCCATCTGATGTGAGGAACACATAACATGGAGTTGCTGGCATGGAGAGTGACCTTTCAAATCAGTTCCTGGCTGTGAAACTTCTTGAATCTGTTAAGTTTCTAAATAGTGACAAAATTCTTCGTGCTTCCAGTTTCAGGCCTCAAGATGTATGTTACGGTAGCAAACATTCAGTGAGGCTTTAGAATGTGTGAATGAAAGGAATAAGTAAATCACTGATTTAAAGTAGGACCCACTTATAAACAAAACATCACGGTTGCTTGCTTACATTTCTAATCAGAATGTACCCAATTACGTGGTGCTTCTGTGATCTTGGGTAAGGGGAGGAAGGGAAGAGGGTCTTTAGAACAGGCTTCACTGCCTTCAGAAACTGATCAGCCTGTCGTATTTAAGCGTTCCGCTCATCTCAAGAATCTCTGAAGTTACCAGATCACATTTATGCTTTAACACCTTGTTGTCCTTTCCTACTTTTCCATTTCCAGATTGTTCTGCAGACTGCACATTTACCCCCAAGAGCGTGCCCGTGCAAGGAGACTGTGAAACAAGCAGCTTTCCTAATCTAAATCAGCGACAGCCTTTCTGCCGAGGGAGGTTCAAGTCTTTAAGGAGTGCCCTTCAAATCAAGGAAGATGTAAGTCCTGTGTGGGCCTGCAACTCCGCTCCCAGTGATGCCACAAGCTGGTAGTGAGCTGGCCTGGCTACTGTCCCAAGGGTTGCAGCTTGATGTTGGGATAGAAGTGAGCTCTAAAATGGAACGTGGGGTGGGGGAAATGGACTTCCCCAACTTTCATAACTTGAACTCTTAATAAAGCTGGCCAAAATTTTTTTTGATAACTTTTTTCAACAAAAAATACAGATACAGCAACACCAAAATGTTTTACGAATTTGACAGTTTTGCTGAATTGTTTCAGTTTAAAATATTTTGTTTTGAAAGTGTCAGTGAAATGTTTAGATTTTTTTTTAATCTATTTTTGGTTCCAAATGACTGTTTAAAACACTTAAATAGTCTAAATCAATCCAAGTTTAAAAATATTCTAAATCAAAACAAAACCTTTTGTTTGACCCAAATTTTTGGATTTTAGAATTGATAGCAAGCGCAAAAAATCCATTATTCATACAACTCTGCTCTTCAGTACCTGCTTCTCTGCTAGTTGTTAGCACAGCTGGTGCTGTACTTGTTCCCTTCTAGCTTGGCTCTTCTGAGTATGTGATGGGGTAATTACCCCTTGATGAGGAACGTTTAAAATAAATGGTATCTGGTTACAGTTCTAGAGCTCCTGAAGAATGTTAAAAATGCACCTGAAAGTGCATGTTCAGCAGAAACTAGCATAATGCACATTCTACTAACTGATAATGTCAGAATCGGTTAACAAGCGTGCTACATGGTGCTCCTAATTGAACTTCAGGAATAAAGAATTTCAAGGCGTTGTTAGGAAAACCAAGCCATGATTGACAACCGGTGTCGCACAGGTTCCACTTCTTCTTTCTACTCCACCCCTATCCATGATGGGAGGTGGGGAGAAAAAACAGTGTAACTGCTGGTCTAATGGTGTGCAACAGTAAGTGTACTGGCTACTCAGTTCTGTTAGAGATCTAGTGCTCTGTCCTTGGTGTTCTCTTTTCCCCCCCCCCTCCTCCCCCGCAGTTGACAAGGCCGAACACCAGTAGTAAAGCAACTGGTGCAAAGGTCAGCTGTACAGTGGCAACTATAGTCTCAGATCTGGTGTTAACAGGAATGTGGCATCTTTACCAGCTCAGAACAAGCTTCCATACACAGTGGTGAATGGTCTGGTGCTCAACTCCCGTCTGCTAACAGCATAGCCCGGGTGCTTGAATTCAGGTACAGACTTTCCTAGAACCTTTCTTCACGCACTCTGTGGAGGTTAATGCTCTTAAGACATTCTAAGAGCGTTAAATGCGGTAAGGTCCTGTCTACTATAGCTGCCAAGCCTAGAACACTGGAAACAGGAGGGATGGTGAGAATTTGTCAAACATGGCTTATTTTGCCAGTGTATGTGCGACCTAAGGCATATGGTGAAAGCTGGATATCAAAACCCTGTGTGAACTAAACAATGGGCTGTTCCTTGAAAGTATGCTCAATGTAGTTGTTCGGATGGGAAATAACCTGGGCCCAAGAATTCTAAGTTTTTATGTTAAGTGTGGATGTCTTTAGCAGCCATCTTTAAATAAATAAATTAAATAACCCGGTGTACTGACTAGCAGGGTGTATGTAGCTTGACTCTTGAGCCCTGATCTACTTAGGTACTGCTACGGAACTTCTAGGTGTCTAGAAAAATCACAGGAACAACAATGCAATCCATAAAGTTAGGCTGTGATGGGTTGGATCACAGAAACCCCCTTGGGAGCTGCCACTCGATGTGCAAAGACTACCCCTGCTCTTGCCAGCTCAGGACTCCAGCACCCTGCCTTGCTGAGCCAGACACTCCCGTCTGCTCCAACACAGACCCAGGGTCTGAATTACTTTCCCCAAAGCTGCAGGTTTACCTGAAAACAGCTCACAGAAGTGTGCTTGTCTTTAGCACTCAGATGCCCAACTCCCAATGGGGTCTAAACCCAAATAAATCCGTTTTACCCTGTATAAAGCTTATACAGGGTAAACTCATAAATTGTTCGCCCTCTATAACACTGATAGAGAGAGATGCACAGTTGTTTGCTCCCCCAGGTATTAACACATACTCTGAGTTAATTAATAAGTAAAAAGTGACTTTATTAAATACAGAAAGTAGGATTTAAGTGGTTCCAAGTAGTAACAGACAGAACAAAGTAAGTCACCAAGCAAAATAAAATAAAATGCGCAAATCTATGTCTAATCAAACTAAATACAGATAATCTCACCCTCAGAGATGCTTCAGTAAGTTTTTCTCAGACTGGACACCTTCCAGGCCTGGGCACAATTCTTTCCCCTGGTACAGCTCTTGTTCCAGCTTAGGTGGTAGCTAGGGGATTCTTCATGATGGCTCTCCTCTCCTCCTTTTGTTCTGTTCCACCCATTTATATATCTTTTGCATAAGGCGGGAACCCTTTGTCCCTCTGGGTTTCCCCACCCCTCCTCACTGGAAAAGCACCAGATTAAAGATGGATTCAGTTCAGGTGACATGATCACATGTCACTGCAAGACTTCATTACCCACTTGCCAGCACACACATACAGGAAGACTCTCAGGTAAACACAGCCATCTGCAGACAATGGTCCTGGTTAATGGGAGTCATGAAGATTCCAAACCACCATTAATGGCCCACACTTTGCATAATTACAATAGGCCCTCAGTTATATTTTGTATTTCTAGTTTTAGATACAAGAGTGGTACATTTCTACAAATAGGATGATCACACTCATTAGATTATAAGCTTTGTAATAATACCTTACAAGAGACCTTTTGCATGAAGCATATTCCAGTTACATTATATTCATTTATCATGTTTTTATAAAACCATATAGACTGCACGACGTCACAAGGGCCTACGTACATATACTATGAATGGGGGGAGAGGCGCCTTAGAAAGTGATCCGCAAAGCTAGCATGCTAGGCAGGGAGTCGCCTAAGCTAGCCAATGGGAGATGCCAATGGTGGTGTGTGTTAGGCTGCAGGGAGGAGCCTGGATTTAAGAGCCTATCTGCTCGTGATTCATGAACTGGAAACATCACTCCTGGAGTCAGGCAGTTTAGGCTTATAAATCACTTAATTAATTCTTGCAAGAAGTGCTTGGCTCACTCCACACAAAACTTGTTGGGGGGGGGGGAAAAGAGGGGAGGAGGAGGGTGGTGGTGCCCACTTTATAGCTTTTTGTCCAGTGGATAGAGCAGTCACCCTATTCCTCTCATCTGCCTGGGGGTGAAGGAGAGGATTTGAATGGGGGCCTTTCACCTCTCCTGACAGTTCTCTAACCTCTGCGCTATGGGAGGTACTGGTGTGAGTCTCTGTCTCCTGTTGAAGCTGTTCCACTGTGGATAAATAGTGATTGGAGCAAGGGGCCTGAAGCTGGGGTCTCCCACCTTTCAGGTGGGTCCCTAATAACTGGAATACAGAATAATCTCTCTCTGGTGCACTTTAGTATTTATCCATCCAGGAAAAGCTTCAACAGGAGAGACTGGGGGAGCCCCCACCAGAATATCCCATAGCTCAGTGGTTGGAGCGCTCTCCTGAGATTTGAGTAGGGCCTCTCCCGTCTCCCCTCAGTCAAAGGAGGGGAATGGAACCTGGGTCTCCCACATCCCATGTGAGTGCTCAAACCATTGGGCTGAAAGTTATAGGATGGTACCTCTTCTGTAGGCTGGATTTTGAATGGGATCTGATCTGCTAGGCCGCCACTGACATGCCTACAGGATCCAGCCCTGCATGCAAGTTAGCTGGAGGAACATCATCTTCCCCTGTTCCTGGAGTGCTCCGGGAGTTAGGCATCTGGATGCCTAGTGGGAGGCAGCAGTGAGGTCTGTGGTCTGCAGTGGAGCCTAAAACTGGGACTTAAGTGCCTAAGTACCTTTGTGGCTCTGGTCCTCTGTGCTGAATTGTGTACTGCACCTTTAAATGCGATCCCTTCACTGCTGCCGTTTTGTCACCTGTCTGCTGCAGAAGGGGGTACACCACGTGTGTCAGGGAGGCCTTTTGAACTTACCTCCTAATACAACCAGGCTGTTTGTTGTATGGGGAGCAGACAATATAACTGGCCTGTAGCTGTCTTTCATGGCTGGTTTTCTAAACTTCTTCAGAACATGGCTCACCTTCCAGATGGGAGCCAGGTGCTTCCCTTGCCATCCTTCACTCCCCTCAGACTCTGGCACGGCTGTATTGTGACTCAGAAGGGCGCTTTGCCAGGCTGCCCTCTGTCTCAGAACTGAGCTTGAGAGGAGATGCTCGAGATGACTTGGGCAGTTGCTGTACTAGAGACCCATCAGTCACATGGGGCTGGAGTTCAATTCGGGTTTAGAATCCTAGTCAAACTGGCCTTTTTCTTTGGTCTCTCACTCTTAACTGTCCTTTTTGCCTAGGACTACCCGTCTCCTACAAGGCAGCCATCATCAACCATTGCTGAACTGATTGGAACCAGATATGCCATGATGTCTGAAATGGAGGGATCCCGCCAAAGAGATGGTTGTGCGATACCTTCAAGAGCCAGGGTATTTACCATTCCCCTTTGATGTACTGCCCTTTCTTTCTGAAGAGTCTGCTGGCTTCACTCCTCTTCGTGCACTCATGTCCTTTCATTCCTGGGAATAACAAGTGCCTGATGGACCCATTTGCCTAAGTGGTTTCACTTAACCCTATAATACACTGATCTTCAGCAGTCCTGCCCCAGTCCACATGGAAGCTTTAGACACTGCACAATGTTAAATTTCTAAGCAAGTTAATTTGCACACTGAGCCTAGACCCTAGCTAGTACTCCATGCTGTTGCCCAACAGATCCTTGCTCCCAAAATAGGAAAGAACTCTGTCATAGCTGGTCCACAAGAACCAAATGGGTTAAGATGCAATACTTAACTAGGGTTCTGACCTTCCTAAAAGCTCTAAGCAAATGCAAACCCAAGATGTTTAGCTGAAGGACATTCAGATACTTGGACTATGAGACCAAAGTGCTTTTCTTGAACAAAAGGAGCTTCTTCTAACATAGTTGTTCACTTCCACTGTCCAACTCTGGCGCCTTTCACCCCGAATCCTCACTTTCTTCCCACTTCTGTCTGAGTCCCCAACACTGCTTGTGTACACCCTGCTGCCTTTCTTCCTCTTCTGCAATAGTCATCCATGATCACCTCCCTTTCTTGACTATTGAAACTCTCCTCTTTGACCTCCCCAAGTTCTGGTTCTCCAGGCTGAGACCTGTGGCAATACCACTTCTCACCACCATTGGAGTCTATTTTAAAAAAGCACACCACTGTTCCTCAGCTTCTCCTATGGCTCATCATCCACTTCAGGATCCAAATTTTCCCCGACACTTTTATCTCCCTGGAAATAATAGTCTGTCTCAATGTCTCATTTCCGTATCCCCACCTTGCTTTCTTCATTGGATGCCTATGCTCTTCCGCACAATCTAGCCATTGTCAAGAACAGCTCTTACTGTCTGAATCAAATCTTGTCATCAACACTCAGGTTTCAAATCTTCTCTGAAAACCTCTTTGCCTATGGCTCTTAATTCTTATGTCTCTGCCCTCCTGTATTTGAACTGTTACTGTATGTAGATCTAAAGCCTTCAGGACACTGAATAATATGGAATATGTTATGCTGTACTGGCAACATCTACTGCTTGCCAAGAGTTGCTTCCCATTGGCATTCATAGGTAACTCTTATCTGCAGGTCTGTTTCCATTGCCATAAGCAGATGGTCTTTCTGTGGCCTTACAGGTGTCATCTCTGTAGCAGGTAAGCTGGTGTAGAAGGACTTTATGGGGCGGAAGAAAGAATCATAAAAACTATTCTAAATTGTCCAATTGCAGCACTCAATGGAGCAAGCTGTTTATCCCTTTAATTTTGCCTGAATAGTTGGGCTCTATCGTAACTGTTTTCTCATGGTTATGGGTGAAGGGAAGACTGTCACTTTGTAGTGTCTTAGTTTATTAATTCTTAAAATTCATGAAAGATAATGAAATTCTTACCCTTCAAGAACCATGCTTGTTCCCCTATGCTTGAAACTGCAAAGGTGGAATCTGATCGTCCCCAAAGTCCTGGGGCAGAGGTTGGCTTGGTTCTAGATCAGGCTCCTAGACAAATGCTCCAAGTCGGGATCTTATGGATGAACTTTGAAACTATCTGAATCCTTCAGTGACTTGGAGCAGGTTGAGACCCCTCTATTTGCTCATAAACTGTAAGATTTGTTCATGGGGCAGAAACAAATCTGGGGCCTGTTATAGACTTAGTCATTTTAACTAAATTTGAGGCAGAAGTAGTTCGTTAACCGTGGGTCATCCAGCAGCGATCAAACACCCTGTGATTTGGTGACCCAGTCACATAGCACTCGTACTGAATTATGAATATTGAGTACGTGTGGCAAACAGTGAGCTGTTCCATAGGCTGGAGCTTTTTCACACAACATCAGTCATTTAAACTAGTACGTATTAATCTGTTCACAAATTACCAGTCAACGGGAAAGTTCTAACTGTGAAGCCAGGTGAACGAGTCATAATCGCAAATGATGCCTTTGAGCTTATTTGGAAGACGCATCTTTGCCTGCAGTATTGGGATCTCCAGAACAAATAATAACACTGTTTTTCTCTTCTCTTCCCCCCCCCCCCCCCCAGTGTCATCTGCTGTGATTGTTGTGTCAAGGTAAGTCCTTTACTCTGTACAGTAGTCTGATTAATTTCTGTCTTGACCCTCCCCACCATGTGTCTTAACTAGTCATAAAAAATATTTCCTCTCTGTCCCACTGACTCTTGCAATTTACCTTAAACCTCTCTCCTGGTTGCCTCTAAGAAGATGGAAGAAGCTGTCTCAAGATTCCAAATCAGTAACGAAATATATACACTCCCAAAAGTACGGGCAGTTGCATAGTCTAGTCAATAAGGGACCCAGATGGAAAACCTATTTTTTGGCTTCTCTTCGAAGCTTGGCCATTAACTTGCTGTGTCATTAAGCAAGTTGCTTCACTTTGTTCCTCCTTTTACTCCTGTGACAATGGAGATGATGGTGCCTATCCATTTTTGTGAAATGCTTGGAGATCTCTGGGTGAAGTACTTATTACAATGAACTTCCTGACCTTGGTACAACTAAAATCTCTCACCCTTACTAGTAGATTAACATATCGACTAGTCCTGCATTTGACAAACTTGCACTGATCCATACTGGCTTTCTAAAGCAGAGAATTTGTTCTGTTTGGTGATTTAAGTTTCATGGCATTCTGGTTCTAGATGTCCATGCCCTTCAGACCATGTGTGCATCTTCCGCTTAGCTTAATAAAAGCACTGAGAGTCTCCAAGGAGGAGGACTCAGCTACCCAAGACCAGAAATCCTCACAGTTGTTGTTTGAAGTAGAACATTGGGATTGTTCTAGGTAAGTGAGTTTTGGGGTTTTTTTTTATTTTTTTAAATGTGAGACTTGCTTTCTATAGTCTTTCACTTTCTGGGTGTCTCAAAGTTCCTTTCAAGGGAAGGTATTGTTTCTGTGAAGTGGGACCTGTGTAGGCAAATACAATGGCTGTTATAGACCTTAGTACCTTTGGCCAATGGCATGTTACACTGAATGACTGTTGGCCTGCCCATTATCCTGGTTTATTAATGACTCTCTTGAAAAGATGCCATTGGATCTCAGGTTCCAAACAGAGATGGGTAGAGTGGACTGTAGTTTAACATCTCACCGGAAAGACTTCCATATATGATCATCTGTATCTTTCTCCAACTTAATGCTATTGCAGAAAAATTCACCCAATAATCCCTATCCAGTGTCTGATTTATTCCCTGGGACATTAAAGCTGGTAAAATATCCTCAGGGTCCAATATCTCTTGTATATCACCGCAGCTTAGATGCAAACTGGGACTCATGTTCATAGGCAGTAATTTTAAGTGACCCAGAGGAATCCTCCCTCTTGCAAATGAATAGCATCTTGTGCATAGGCTACAGTATCTGAGTGCATCACAGAATACATAAAGTAACCAGCAGTCTCTTGGTTCTCTCCCCTTTTCTTCCAATATGTTAACTTTTTTTTAGTCCTCTTATTGTGGGAAAGCTATTTCAAAAAGATAGAGTATAAAACTTGTCCTGAATGTGTTCAGGTCTGGCTATTGTTGGCTCTTCTTATAAGGAGCCCCATAGCTATGGGCTGGTGGCTGGGTGGGGTGCAGGAGATCAGAAGACGGCTTTCTCGGGACTCTTCCTTCTAGTCTGGAGTTGCAATGTCCATTATGAGAGCAGTATTAGGAAACTCTCGGATTTGAAAGGTCTCTTTGGGGGCAGACGAGACCTGTCCATTGCAGCATTTGGTTTTGATCTACTTTTCGGTGTGGGTCAGTACAATGTTCAGAGCACAGAGATAATAGCTGTTAGTATTGCTTAACAGGTGGGTAGCTGCATTCAGAACCAGCTGGAGCTCTGCCAGGGTAGCTGCTCTCATTGCAAGGCATGGTACATGGTGATAATTGAGACTGGAGGTGACAAACACAAATCACCAGGGCCAGACTATTTATCAGAAGGCTGTGACCCCCTCATGACCCGCCACAGCTGTAAAGAACACACATTAGTAGCTGTGGGGATCTATTAGCAGTGACCTCTAGGGTGCAGACCATCTTGATCATTGGAGGCCATGTTTTCCCCCCTCCCAAATGAAGATGAGCTGGTGCTTGCTTGTTCCAATCCTGTCCTACACCGAAGGGAGTAGGAGGTGCTCGGCACCATCCAGGACTGTGCTCTGGATGAAGTGCTAAGTGGGTGTTGGATCAGATGGGGGAAGGGGTTGGCAGAACACTCCACCTATTTAACTGAAGCCTGGATTCATTTGTCACTTTCAGAGTACCAGTAGTGTTTGAACCCCATTGCCTAGCACAGCCTCTTGCCTCTCAGAGAAAGACCATGATGGACTGGCCTTCTATGGACATCTGTACCACATGTGAGCAATACCTGTTGCATGTCCTCTCCAGCCAGCAGCAATGCATCCCTCCCAGGAAAAGATCCAGGTCATGGACTGAACTGGAATGACTCCTTTCTCTAAATGTGTGTCCTGTCCTATTGATTCCTTTACATTTTTGTGTTTTTTGCACCTGAAGTAAGAGTGCAAAAATAACAGCTGTATCTCTATATTAACATAAAGGCCTGAATAAAAGACCCCCTGCTGGATACTCTTGGCTAGCCAGAAGACACAGCTGTTGTTTACTTATAGTGAAATAGTGTAAAACATTGTGGCTCTTGGCAATCTGCTTTTAATTTATTTTTTTATAAAATAAATAATAAATATTGAAGCACTGTCACGCCTCTAGCATTTCATCCTTCACCGCACTTGCTGTCACCTATAAAGACAATGAAAATCTAATAGTCACTGCCAAAGGGCAATCCCCACCATCTAAATAGTGAAATAGCACAGTAAGTGGGTGGGAGTGCTCACCCCGAAGCTCTGTTGCTTAGCAGGGGGAGAATGGGGCTTCCCATCACGTGATCACAGCACCAAACCCCTCATGCTCACTCTGCCTTCACCTCTCCCCCCAATAATTGGCTCATTTAACATCACCAGAAATTAACTGCAGATACAGAACAGGATTCTAGCCACGGCCAGCAGACAGATTGCAGGGCTTGCAGCTTCAGTGGTAAGCAAGTCTGTCTTTGGTGCTTCCAGCACTTCTGGAGGCTGTCAGTACTGTGCCAGCAAAGCTGCTCCCTCCCAGCTCTCAGTAACTGGCAACCTTCCATCACCACCTGCAGTCGTTGCCCTCAGTCTGGTACTCTGCTTTTATTCTGGCCTTGAACTTTTTCAACTGTTCTGAATTGAACCATGTTGATGCTTTGTGATGCTTAAGTGGAAAAATAAAGAACGTTTTGGTAAACTGTGTGGAGGGGAAACTCAGACTGTAGTGGTGGAGGGGAAGAGGGTTTGCTGGTATACTTGAATTTTAGAATCCACTTAAATCATCCTGGCCTGTCCCCTTAAGACCACCTGTAGAAACAAATGTAGTTTGAAGGTAGATTTCTCCTCCCTCAGCCTGGGGGTGGGTGGGGGGACAGTTGTAAGAATGTGACATGCTAGGTAGCTTCTTTCACCAAGACTGTTAACAGGATTGTGGTGACATTAAGTTCCAGACATTAGTTCATCCAGCATTAAAGGTAAATGGCTGGTTCTAGACTAGAGCCACTGTAGCAGAGGGAAGACAAGATGGCATCTGAGCTGGGTCCATGCTGCAAAACTCAGATCTGGCTTTGAAGAGTTTGGAAATTCAAATCAAAGGATGTAAATTGTCAGCTGGATGGAGGCAGCTCAGGCTAACAGAGCTATCCACAACACAAGCTGAGCCTACTAGGCTGTGTGCCTGCCACAGTGGAGGTAAAGCACTTCCTATACAAACACTCAAGAGTACTTCAAACACACAACTCATTAGAGTTGTCCTAAGGCTCCTGTTACTAGCATGCTAGCTTCCTGCTCACTTTGTCATGATTCAGTGTAAACTAAGCTAGTCTCCAAGAGAGACAAGCTGGGGCCTACTTCAGTTGTAGAGGATAAAAGTTTACCACACAGTCCTACTGAACCAGGGCTAGAGTAGAGCAGTGGAAAGACAATCTTCTCTTCATTTTTCCTGAAACCTTGGGTTACATTAGCCTGTGAGTGGACCATTACAGTAAGTTCTCTGCCCTGATAGAAGAGGTGAACCTACCCACCTCAAACTACAGGTGATAGTGACTGGCCCATGCCAGTAGTGGAATTTCTATGTGTCATGACTACCGTCTACACAGCCCTACAGCCTTTAGATCAACACAAGTACAGTAACGCCTTACTTAAAGTCGTCCCGGCTAACGTTGTTTTGTTGGGAACATGCTCGTTTAAAGTTGTGCAATGCTCTCTTCTAATCATGAATGAAGAGTGCTCAGGTGGATACAAGAGGCTGGAACTAGAATGCTGGGACTATAGATTTTAAAAACTCTAGCTGTGTGTCAAACAAAATATCCCACCAATAAAACTTGTTATACTGCAGAGAAGTCCCGCTTAAGAGACAGAAATACCTTTGCTAGGGATTGCTCAAAGAGAGACTTGGCAAACTGATGGAGCAAGTTGCTGGAGTGAATGATGCTGTCCTGAGAGGGAAGGTGGAGAAGGAGGGGATATATATATATATATATATTAGTTCTTTCCCATCTTTAGCTGATCCAGCCTATTCCACTAATTTCCCAGCCATGAACACTTTTCATAAGTAGGGAGATGTGAGTAAACCAAAGCATCTTTGCCTTTATCTTGTGGTTCAAACAGGGTGAGTGAGGAGGGAACCATGATGAGCTAAGGACATTTCAAAGCTAACACCCATCTCGATACCTGTGATGCTAGTGCTAAGACACTTGTCACTTTGTTATACTAGAGCAGGCTCTGACCTTAGCTTGGGAAGTAGCTTTACGAATTCATCCTCTACCAGTATGTCTTTGTTCTCCTTGTAACAAGCAGGACGTCCATGAATAGTAAAACTGAACTATGTGCTCGGTCTTCCAGCAGAGGGCAGCAAAAGGCTGTAATTTATATTAGCCATCATTTTCTGAACTCTGCAATCTTCTTCCTATTCAGTTGCACCAGTGCAAGAATGGCATGGCTCTCTGTGAGGCCAGGAGTTACATCAGTAGAATCACCCAAATGAAGGAGAATCCTTTGGTCATAGGGATCTGTCCAATCTAAAGTGAAGTCACATGGTGATTTTAGTCCCTGGTGGAACAGCATCATATAACCACAACTATTGATTTCTTGGTGTCCCCTGAAATGGGATCACATGAGTATGGGGCTTTCTTGCTGCAGGTAGATGACAGAGCATGACCCCATGGCCTTCTGGTCTCACACGGAATGAAATCAGCCATGTATTGTACTATGAATATGTAGACCTGATTAAAGAAGAGCTCTGTGGTGCTCAAAAGCTAGTCTCTCTCACCAATAGAAGTTAGTCCAATAAAACATATTACCTCACCCTACTTTGTCTCCCTTACTATGAATGGAAATACCTCAAGGCAGGTTGAGAAGTTTTCTGCCATGAGATATTTCATGCAACCAAAATGACACTTTCGTCTTTTCTTCACTAGCTGGTTACCTGCAGAGACTCTGCCATGTGCCTTAACAGAGTACTCCATAACCATTTACCAGCATGAGGAATCATCATAGACTGTTCAGGCTGTGTTAAGAAACAGCAGCAGCTCTTTTCTTTTGCTAGAGACTTAAACCGAACACAATACTTTTGTATGAATTTCACCCTCGGGCTCCTCAGGTCCTGCTTAGCAGAGCAAGGGTGTATTTCCTTGGCAGGGGAACACGTTTTGTAGATATCTTCCTGTCTCATGCTTGTAGGTCTGAACATGTCAAGAAGCTAAAGAACTTGAAGAGAGTTGGGAGAAGTCCTCTGACAGCATAGCCACATTGTCAGTGTGGGAATACAACATGTGTATGTTGCGGAAGATCTTCTCTCCTGCCCTGCTGACTTTCCCAGGAATGGTCTTCGCTGAGGTACTATAATTCTGACCTGAAGGCACTCCCTCTATTCCTGTGCATCTATGGGGATTCACTAATCGAGGTGACATACAGACTTCTAGATGGACGCCTGTGCTATATTGTCCATGTTGTGAGCCAAAATCAGCAGGTCCAGATAACTTGCATCCAAGAGTTTTAAAAGAGCTGGCTGAGGAGCAACCTAGACCATTAATGTTGATTTTCAATAAGTCTTGGCACACTAGAGAAGTTCCAGAAGACTGGAAGAAAACTACGGTTGTGCCAATATTTTAAAAGGGTGAATGGGATGATCTGGGTAATTTTAGGCCTTCAGTCTGACGTCAATCCCAGGCAAGATAATGGAACAGCTGATACAGTACTCCATTAATAAAGAATGAAAGGAGGGTAATATAATCAATGCCAATAAACAGGGGTTTATGGAAAATAGATCCTGTCAAACTAACTTGACACCCTTTTTAGTGAGATTACAAGTTTGGTTGATAAAGTAGTAGATATAGTATAATATGCTTAGACTGCTGTGGGGCGGTTGACTTGGTACCACATGATATTTTGATTAAAAAACTAGAACCATAAAAATTAACATGGCACACATTAAATGGATTAAAAATTGGCTAACTGAAAGGTCTCATCGTAATTTTAAATGGGGAATCAACACTCAGAGGGTGTGTTTCTAGTTAGGTCCTGCAGGGGTCAGTTCTTGACCCTGTGCTATTTAACATTTTTATCAGTGATCTGGAAGAGAACATAAAATCATCACTGATAAAGTTTCCAGACAACACACAGACTGGGGAAAGTGGTAAATAATGAAAAAGTCAGGCCCCTGTTACAGAGTGATCTGGATCTCTTGGCAAGCTGGGTGCAAGCAAACAATGTTTTAATACAGCTACATCTAAATGCATACATCTAGGAACAAAGAATTTAGGCCACACGTACAGGATGAGGGCCTCTATCCTGACTGAAAGAGATTTGAGAGTCGTGGTGGATAATCAAGTGAACATGAGCTCACAAGAATACTGTGTCCAGTTCTGGTGTCCACAATTCAAGGATGTTGATAAATTGGTGAAGGTTCAGAGAATAGCCATGAGAATAATTAAAGGATTAGAACACATGCCTTAAGGTGATAGACTCAAGGAGCTGAAATTATTTAGCGTAACAAAGAAAAAGTTAAGGGGTGACTTTATTACTGTCCATAAGTACCTATGTGGGGAACAAATATTTAATAACAGGCTCCTCAATCTAGCAGAGAAAGGTATAACAGGATTCAATGGCTGGAATTTGAAGCTAGACAAATTCAGACTGGAAATAAGGTGTACATTTTTAACAGTGAGGGTAATTAGCCATTGGAACAATTTACCAAGGTTTGTGGTGGATTCTCCATCACTGGCAATTTTAGGATTGATGTTTTAATAAAATATATGCTATAGGTAAAAAGGAATTATTTTGGGAGATTTCTATGGGCTCTGTCTTACAGGTCAGACTGACAATCACAGCGTTTTCCTCCAGATCACTGTGCCAATCTCAGGAAGATGGGGTGTTATATGATATATAATAAAATACTGACTGGATGCAATGGGAACCCTATAGCTGAACATCACTAATGCGCTTGTGACTTCGTTTGCATCTGTTTTATTTTACCTATATAAATGGGATATTTTCAGAGTTGCATCCATTTTAGAAACAATCCCTTACAT